TACAAAATCTATCTCCAGCAAATTGTAGCTCAATCTATAATATTATTTACCCAAAATATAATTTGCTAATTGCCACTTAGGCAACTTTAATTGAATAAACTTCTTCTATCACAGCTTGCACTGGTTCTTCCTGTTTAAAATAGATTTTTCAAAAATCTATGTTATAAGTTTGAGAGATCTTAGGAGTGTTGTAATGTTCTGTAAGTTACGCATAATTGAAGGAGTTGGATTTGTACGTGGAAAACCGCAGGATGCAAATCTGAAACCAAACTCAACATCAAATGTTGTTCGCCGGCGCGAATTCCATCTAAGATGTTATTTTGAACTGAGCCGACATGTTTCAGATGGAACCACAGATGCATTCACAGTGGCATCCACATGCAAATTACGCAGATTAATTGATGCAGCGGTCACGCCCATTAGACAGCCGCCATGCCCTACCCGGCCGTGTTGCCTGTTACGTTAACAGCAGCCGTGACCTTCGACCTTTTATTGTCGTTGTTGCTTGCATTTTTTCACAGGCAACTTTTGACTTCTGCTGCTGCTGTTGCTGGTGTTGCCTGTTGCCTGTTTTGCGGCTGTCCTTTTTAGGCTGCTAAAAATCGCAACATCTTAGCCAGAATTTCAGGCCGGATTAGGCATTTTATGGTATTCGCGCCGAGCCCAAAATGCAGGCAATAAAACGCTAAGCGCTTTCCGCTAATCTCCAACTGTAAATGTATCTTCAAATTTCTATATCTGCATTTTTATTTAATGAACACCAAATTTCAGCAGCGTTTCTATCGACTGCCCCAACCAAAAAATAAATAAATAAATAAATAAAAATCCGCCAAGCAGCTGGCATTTAAATGTCTGTTCCGGAACTGAGCAACCAAAAATAGTATCTGAGTAGCTGAGTAGCTGAGTATCTTGTGGATGCGTTTGCTGCCACTGCTGCCATTGACAATGCAATCAATTAGCATACAATTAAAAAATGCTTAAACAAGGAAATCAACTCGAGCGCCCGCAAACAGATGCACAGATACAGATACAGATACAGATGCAGATACAGATACGGACACACATTGCTATGGATGCAGATACAGTTAGAGATTCAGATGCATGTTGTAAGTGGCCGCAGATCAAAGCGACGACGACAACATAATTGCTCGTTCACTTCACAGTTTTCTGATGACTTCGACATGGCCACAGCAAACACTTAGTGCTGCTCCATATATGTATCTAGATACATATTTATTAGTGCCTTTTGTATCTTTTATGTCGCTGCGGCTTGTCCCTGGCTGCCCTGGTGGGCTCTGTGGCGCCACAAGCTCCTTGCAACCGATGCCTGCTAATTGAGTTTTAAGTAGCTTCCAGCAGCAGCCACTTGAACGCTGCGGAAGTTCAGAGTCCTGCATTTCCTGCCCTTGACTGCGACATACATTTCTATATATATATATATATATATATATATATATATATATATATATATATTTATAAATATATATATGTGTGTGTGTGTGTGTGTCCTTTTTGGCCTGTCCTAAGTCCAGCTGTAATCCACAAATATTTTCAACTCTTTGGCTCTAATCGCTGCTTCTAATCACTTCCATTGAAGCGCATAATTGTGCCATTGCTTTTGATACGCTCTCTGAACTCTGACCTGTGCCCAGCTTGAACGGTTTGCCAATTTTTGTCAGTTTTTGCCCGCAGCCAAGTGCCAAATCCTTGCTACACACAATGCCCACAGAATGGACAACAAGTAGCGGCGAATTATCAATCCTATCATGCTTTTATGACAGCCCGCAACTCTTCCCAGCTCCTCGCGAACCTCGCTTGGCCAGTTTCGGGCGAACTATGAATTTGCATACTCAGCCTAGCCAGCTACCTCATTGGCTGGTTGGCCGTCGTCACCCCTTTTGCAGGCCACGCCGATAATCCTTCTAAATGTTTGCATTAATTTCGAGGCGTAAACGGATTAGGGCGTCGTCTCGGGGCGTTACCCGCAGCCGGAAAACCGCCGAGGACACCGACTTTGACCTGCACCGGCCACGCAGCAGAAGCAGCAACAGCAGCAGCAGCAGAGGGAACGCCCCCTCGTCGAGAGATGTGCTTAATCCTTTCGCATTTGCGCTGACTTCTGGACTAAGTCTGCGCCTAATCCGGCAAGCGAACGGGTTGCGCCTGCTACTAACGGGATTAACTCCGATTACTCCAGATGATCCGCAGAAGTCAATCGGCTGTTCAGGGCCCTAATTGCAGCGCGGCCAGCAACTCAAAGCGAAACTCTACCAAATCCGAGCATCAAGTTAAGGATGCTGCTCCTGCTGCAGTTGCTCTGTTTATTTGTTTGTTTTCGTTTGTTTTGAGAATTGCTGGCAATTAAGTTGGCGATTTGCTGCGCCTATTTCAGGCGGAGCCGTAACCGGGGGCGTGTGCACCAAATCCTGCCCGCCATACCTGTCACTTAGTCCAACAGCAACAACAACAACTTGACCAATTGTTTTGTGCACGTCAAGGCCAAAAAGTCAAAAAGTCAAATGAACTTTTTATCTGCCTTTTTGCTTGTTTTTTCCCCGTCTGTTTATTTTTTCTTGGCAAATTTTGCAGATTATGCGAGGATTATGCGTTGATTATGCGCAATTATTGTGTTCTGCTCCTGCCGAGCCATGCATAAAAATGAAATAAGCAAAAACAACAATGCAAAATTGCATTTACGATTCACGCTAAATCCTTTGAGCACCCCTTTTGTCTCCGGCCAGGACCTTGACGCATGCTGCTTGCTGCTTGCTGATTGCTGCTTACGTAAAATTTCATAACCCTATGCGCATTTTTCCAGCGAAAAAGGCAGCCATCCTTAGCCCTATGCCTATGCCTATGCCAATCTGTATCCTTTTTACCTCTTGCCAATCCGTTGGCTAAAAAACAGCGACTAATTTCCGCTTAACTGCTGATGAAGTCAATACAACAATTGCCAGGTAAAATGCGAAAAAAAAACGAAAAAAAACGCTGACAATATTTCGCAATAAACACGCAACCAAGTCTCGCTTATATAACGGGTTTCTGTGCAGCAAGAGTTGTCTAAGAGTTAAAAGAAAGAAACGCTTGTTTTTAGCTCGAAACATAAAAAGACAACAATTTCTCTTCCCCCCTCTCTCTGTCGATCTATCGCTATCTCCCTCTCACAGTCTCACACTCTGTGTGTGTGTGTGTGTGTGAAATTGACGTTAATTGCAATTGCTGGCAATTATAAACGGCGCAGATGTGCAGCAAGAGCGTAGGCGGGGGACGGGGGGTAAAGAGCGTGGGTGATAAATGTGCGTGATTTGGAATGAATGTGCATCGATTAAAACCGCAGGGCAATCAATTTGCGCCTTTTACTCGATTCCCAACGCCAAATTGGCTCGCAACACAGCCAATTAATGTCAGAGGCCAACCCCATGAGCAAGACAATTAACGCAGCGCAAGCAGTGTAACGGGATAGGGGTCGGAGGTGAACATTCCACACGATAAACTTGCAATAAAGTCAAGCTGAGGCGTCTAATTGCTGTTAACTCAACTCAGTCAACGTCAAAGGAGAAACAGCAACAACAAATACAACTCTATTTGTTGTTGTTGTTGTTGCTTTTGTGTTTTGATTAAACACGACGACGACGCCGCACCTGTAACGGTAACGGTAAAAGCAGCGACGACAGCAGCAACGTAACAGCATTTTCAACGTTAGCGGTAGCGGCAGCATCATCGTTGTTTGCATCATATACCGCAATGAATAAGTGACTATAATTGTGACTTTTAGAGCATTTTGTCGACGGCCATTTTTATGCGCCACCCAAAAAATAAAACAGCCAAGCTCCCTCTCCCTCTCTCTCTCTTTCTCTCGCTCTCACTCACAACAGCAGCAACAGCAGCAGCTGAAAAGCTGTTTGGAGAGTATTCAAAATGCGCACTCTCTCTCCCTCTCTCTCTCTCACTTTCTCCCACTCTCTCTTGCTTGCTCTCACTGCGTCGACTCACTGCCAGTGGAGGCCTGCTGATTGGCTGTTGGGATGTGGAGCCATTGCACCATTTTGTAAGCAGACACGCCCCCAACATGCTGCTAGCGACAATGCTGCCACTGCCTCTGCTGCTGCTGGTGCTGCTGCTGCGGCTGCGGCTGCTGCTTAGAGCTAATAAAGTAAAATGAAATAAAATGCTGCCATAATTGGAGTCGTTAATGCTAAAACCATGAATACCAAAAAGTTTTACATTGACTGCAGCTCAGCTGGGGAGCTCGAATAACAGTAAATTGCACTAAACGACTGTCGGGGTTAACAGCAAAACTCAAATACTTTTCACATTTTGAAATCTTTATATTACATTCCAGCTTAGAGATAAATTCTTCATTAAATCAATCAAAACGTAACAACATTATAACGTATTTGCAATTGTAACGTATACAAATTTAACGTGAAGCAAATATAATTTTAGTACATCTATTACTTGTATAGCAGTCAGCTTGTGCAAGCCACGGAGCCAACGTTGCCGTTGCTTAAAATTTAGCGCAATGCCTGATGCTGCCAGATACTTTTTTTCCAGCAACGAGTGTGACCGTAGTAAATATTTGAAGCTGCATTTGCGACTATCAAATATCGCTTACGGTTGCTTAGCAAGTTTATCGATATGCGGTCTCGTGCGATGGCTAACCGTACCATTTGAGCTCAACAACCGCACAACATTCGTGGTAAAATCATCATTTACATTAACATTTATATTCAGAAAAAACATTGGGACGGGTTGGACGCGGATAGCACACGACTTTTTTCTGCGGAAAAAAAACTAAAATTTAAGTGCATAAATAAGCGGTAATACAGGGAAAATATACGATTTGAGTTCACAGCTCAGTTTTTCCAACGCGTCTCCACAGTTTTCGCGCAACGAAAAGCAGCAGTCGAGCAGACAAATAAGCGAAACGAACGAAAGAAAAAATCGGAATAAAGTGCGCCCAAAAAAAAAAGAAAAAAGAAAGTGAAATCTAATGTTAAAAAGTCAATTTCTTATAGTCGCAACGTGATTTACAAAATAATACACAAATAAGCAACGAGGCAATTACTTTATGTGACGAATTGTTGAAGCATCGAGAATGGGAACGAAAGTGCAACAACAAAACGATGTCGCTGTCGCTGCAACGCCAGCGGCAGAAGCGGCCGCCACCCACAGCAACGCCAACGCCAATGCCACAACAACTAAAACAACAACAGCAACAAGAGAAGCAGAGGCAGCAACAACACCAACGCAAATCAGCGAGCTAAAGTCAAAAACGCTGCCCACACATGCCACAGTGGTAATCATTCCTGCCGCCCAGGCATCCACGCTAGCCACAAATGCCGCCAAAAAGATACGGCGCGCCTTCTCCATGCCACGCAATCCGTTTCGCTGGTCACGCAAATTCAAGACAATCGCCGCTGCCACAGCCGGCTCACCAGCAGCAGCGACAGCCGGCAACGCCAACGTCAGCAGCAGCAGCAGTTGCAGCAGCACAGCCATTTCGTCCTGTGTCAGCGGTGGACGCGGTCGCAGCGGCAGCATTGTGTCCCTCAACAGCTACGAGGCAGCGGCGGCCTCCGATGCGCCCATGGGCAACGAAAGCCACACAATTGGTCAATGCAACAACACGAGTAGCAACAACAACACCAACAACAGCAGCAACAAACATGCACGTGCGATGCGTCGTTCGTCCTTCAGGAAATTTCTCAATCGTATTGCGCAGCATTTGAGTGCAACGGTAAATGTTGGGGTAAGTGCAACGTTGAATGCTACTGTTTATTTTAAATGTATACACATGCATACAGTGAACCTTCGCTAATTGCCACTTTTTGAAATTTAAAGTGGGCATAAAGCAATGATTAATTGGTTGTTGAAATTACGTGTACTAAATTTGAAATTTAAAATCATCACCTTTGAGTCAGAGTTGTAATTGTAAGTACACATGTATATGTAACATGTGTGTGTGTGTGTGTGAGTGGGTAAACTACTACTGTCAACTGCATAGTGCACAAAAGTGTGTACACACTTCTTTCTTTGTTCAGCAGCAGCCGCGGTCGCATCTCAGCAGCGTTTTCGCCCCCTTCTGATAAGAAGCGGGAGTGCTATGTATACGTGTGTGCGAGTGTGTATGTATGTGTGTATATTTATAAAAACATCATCGTTTGGTGTCGGCGTTATCGTTGCCTTTGTTTTGCTCCGCTTTGCCGCCGCTTCTTTGTCTCTCGCTCTCTCTCGCTCTTGCTCTTGTTCTTGTTCTTGCTCCTGCACTTTGTTGCCTTCATTCTTGTGTGCATTACATTGAAAGTTTGAATAGTTTGACACACATACATGAATACATGCATACATACAAATATATATGTATTTATTATTTACATTACACACATTCTTCTTAAGTATACGCCAAGTTTTGTGTCCTGCATTGCTGCATGCCATTCTATTTGCTCTTGTTATTGTTGCCACCCACTGGGTGCGCAATGCGCTGACCAAATCGGCATTTGCCACGTTTCCATGTAGCGCGATTGTTTCTTCTCAATATGCCGTCTGCTGAGTCATACTGAAAATGCGTGTTGATAACAGAGACTTATTCGGTGTTGCTTTCTTTCACAATACGCATTTACATTTCTGAAATGGTCATGTACTATGTAAACCCAGACAGTCAGACAGACAGACGGAGGAGGGAAAGAGCGAGCATGTTAACTATGTGCAATGTGCTATGGGCTGTGGAATGCAATAAGAAATTTACATGCAGATTGTATTAAAGGCAATGTAAATATGCAGACATAAATATGTAGGTCAGATTTCTTTGAAAAGGAGCATTTGCATATGAAATAAGAAAACACTCCAAATAATAATTATTTTGTTGTATGCCACAGCATCATCATCCAAGCCAATTAGATAAGTTTCCAACATAGATAGAGAGAGAGATAGAGCATATCAGGTGCGACTTGTTTTATCTATTTGGGTATTTCATTTTATTTTATTTTTTATAGAACTTTTCAGTATAATTACCTTGCGGACAGCGTATGGAAATTGATGTTATTTTTAAACAATTGCTGTCTCATTATTATTTGTATAATTTATTTAGCCGACTGCGCTGACGGCCAGCCTAAAATTGTTGCAGGTGTGCGAGGGTGGACGAGAGGGTCGCTGTGGCCAGGTGACAGGGGGAGGCTGTGCTATTGTTTCATGGCCCAGCAATTGTTCAAACAACAACTGTAAATGTTGGCAACATTTGTTGGCGCTGTTCGCGCCATATAATAACAATAAACAAACAAAAAAAGAAGAAAAAACTGCCAGCGATAACCTCAGCAACAGCAGCGACAAGAACAACAGCAACAACAACAAGAGCAACATGCAATATACCAAAAACAATAACAACAAAGCAAGCAGAGACAAAAGTTTCAGGTCGAGCGCTGTTGGAGCGTAGCGTCGCACAGCTGTCAGTCGCCAGTTGGCAGACAATGGACTTGGACTCCAGTCCTGAGACAACTCCTCGCGGCAGATTGACAAATGTGTGCCACGCTTCTGCCCCAAGACAGCAGCACAGCACAGGCAACCAGAGGTAAAGAACGGGAGAGAGTGCGCTTAAAGTGAAGGCAAGTGCAGGGCGTAAAATGACAGCGACAGTTGTTTACACTCACATTGCGGAGCCTGCCCCTTCCTCGGCTCCCTGAATTGAATTTGATCTAATAAGTGATGCACAAACACAGACAGAAGCAACACACACTTCTCTATATATACATATATATATATATGTGTATGTGTGTGTGGCACATATTACTTATTTGATATTGCTACTGTTGTAATAAGCGTGTGTTGATTAATTGTAGAGTGCAAGACCTTAGACGCTGCTCTGACCTCTTACGCGCCACGAATTCCATAACGGCGATAGCAGCGCAGAAAACGTAATTTCAAATGCACGAAACGAACTCGAATTGGAGGCGACTTCAATAATACAAAATACAATGCTGCTCACAGTGTTAGCCCAGTTTACACTGTCAAACTGTCCAAACCCCATTGATAAACCATTAAATAGTTAAAGCGATTAAATAGTTGGTGCTGTCAATAAAAATCAAAAACAACAATTAATAGCTTGTGGAATTTAATTATTTGATTATTGGCAGTTATAGAAATTTGATTATAAATGGAATGTGAGCTATTAGGATGAAGCGCACTGTAAGTTTTGGTTTATTTTTACTTTTTTATATGAAATACAGTTATGCAGGCGCTGTACGTACAATTTTTTTTGTAAGTTGGCCAAGTAAAGACCTCGTATCATTAGCCGACTTACGACTTTGGCACCTTTCACCATCTTGGCAGCGTTGCTTGCTTGCCTGCCTCCCTGCTGCCTGCTGCTGAGATGAGGCAATTGTCCATTGTTGGTGCTGATGATGCTGTTGGTGCTGCTTGTTGTTTTTGTTGTTGTTGTTGAAATTCTTGTTATTGCTGCTGCTGATTACCTCACGCTCCAGCTGGGAGCCTCGGCAGTTGATTTATGATTCACGCTTCAAGCATCTCGCATTGATTTTATTCAAATTGTCGTCGGCCCCTCAGCAAGTGCAATGTGAATATTGTGAATAGCCAGCAATAGCAGCAGCCTCAAAAAAAAAAAAAAAAACAACAACAATAACAACAGCAACTATTCAATTTGGCTTATTAAAATGCCAATTGGTGCATTGCGCGTGGGTCGCTGCTCGTCGTCGTCGTTGTCGTAGTCGTCGCTGTCGCCGTCTATTGTGCAAAAAAAAAAAAAAAAAATGCATACCAAACAAAAAATTGCGGCAGCCACAAACGCCAACAAATTGAATATTAAGGTCAGGCAGGGAGGGGTTGGGTGGTCAAGGGGTGTAGCCAAGGAATTCTGTTAGCATTTCTCGTCTAGCTCAAGTCGAAAAGAAAACACACAAAAAAAAAGAACGAACTAAAAGTGACACTCAATAATGAAACGTGCGACATGAAATTCACACGCCGCAATAACAACACGTGATTTTGTGTGGGGGGCTAGTTGCTAGAGAGGGGGGCTAGTTGGGGTGTTTGTCATTTGCAAGCCATTTCCGTAAGGTTTGGGCCACCCACAGTTAGATGTGTAATGCTAAGTATTAGTGTGCTGTGTGTAGCAAATGTTTTTGTTGTTGTTGTTATTGTTGCACTTGTTGATGGTCGAGATTAGTACGTAACAGCGTGTGCCTGACTTGTGTGAGTAGGTGTATTTGTGTGTGTGTGTGCCACTGTTTGCTGATTTTCTATGATGTTCAAGTGCCGTGCCGTGCACATATGTGTGTGTGTGTGTGTGTGTGTATTTCGCGTATTTCCGCCAGGAAAAGCTAACACGTAAGTTTTGCGCTTTTTTTGTTTTGTAGTTGTTGCTGCAGTTGTACAACAAAATACTGTGCAAATTATTGTCTGTTGTTGGTTTTGCCGCCGTGCGCACGTTTTTTGCTCCCTCTCTATTGGTCTCTCTCTCACTCTCTCTCTCGATCCATATGTATATCTTTCTCTCTCTCGGGTCGGTCGATCTCTTTTGCTCTTTTGAATTCGCTTTCAAGGTAATATCAATTGAGATCAAACTAATTGAAAATGTTCTCAGTATGGGTGTTTTTTTTTGTACATATTTTTTTTTTTTTGCTTATTTTTGTGTGTGTATTTTTGTAGCAACATATTTTCATAAACAAATGTAAAAATAGTTGCCTTGCAGCGCCAACAACAACCGCAAACAGTGTTCAACTAAACTAGTTTTTTTTTTTTTTTTTGGCCTAGCTAAACCAGAAACTAGCAGAGAGCAAGGCGAATTGATTAGCAGACGCAGTTCATTCACTTAAGCAACAATCAAAGCTGGAGAGTGATCTGAAATGTTGTCACTGTCAGTGTTGCTAGGCGAACTAAGTTAATCAGCAACTAAAGCTTAATTTGCTTATGCATACAACTTGTCTATTTATGGTTGAGCTATCAGTTAACTAAACTACATTGATATTAGTCTGTGTCTGCTGCTAAACTGATTTCAACTGATTGACTATAATTTCTTGGAAATTTGTTTGGAATTACAATTATTTTGTCAGATGTTTACAATTTGTGTTTACTCAGTGTGTCATAACAATAATTAAGTGAACAACCAAAATGCAACCCTGAACTCTCTTGATAAGTTTAAATATATATTCCATATTGCAAACAAAGGCCATATGCCTGAAATAGCCTCTGGTCTTAAAAAACATAAATCACAGCCATAGACTCAGCGAAAGGAAAACACTTGAATCTGTTGCTGGGTCATAACTGTTAATGTTCACGTGTACATTATATAAAAGTATATATTTATATATATAGATATATATTTATATATATATATATACTTTAATTATGCCTAGATATAGGCATAATTAAAGTGTGATTTCTTTATGTCTGGCAAAAATGTAGCTAATTGCACAATCATAAATCTCAAACTGTATCACCTACAATATATAGTGAGGAGATACACTTAATACACTATATACATATGCAAACTATGCATTTGTACGAGTACTTTTAGCTGTCATTAAAATTGTCGTCGCAGTCTTAACTTGTGTGCGTTATGCAATCGACTGTGATAACAGTATAAAATGTGCAAATTTGCCAAACTAACCGGATCGCTGTCCTTGTGATATATACAGTACAGCAATAAGCCAGAACTGAATAAATACTAACTAGCTGACAAATACTCACACTCGCATTCACATTCACATTCGTTTTGCGTATCGCGCCACTGATAAGCGCACAATTCACACAGTCAAGGTGTCGCTGATTAGAGAACCTTGGTAAAATGCTGGGCTGTAGCAAAAGGTGGGCGTATGTTGGCCACGTGTTGCATGCGCTTACATAACTAACAACAATAAAAGCAACAACAACAACAGTAATAATAATATAACATTCGACCAGAGGAATGAGCGACTTGAAACATTTGTCAAGTGGCAAAGGCATTCATCAAATGTCTTACAAGTGTCAAGTGTATTCTGTTCGATCGGCCGTTTGCATCAATTCAATTGAATTGGAATTGAAATTGGAAACGATCGTACATCAAGTTGTACAATTAATTGCATTAACCCGAATCCCACAGAGCGACAATTGCTTTTATTTCTCTATCGACCATAAATTGCACTGCGACAACAATCGGAAACCTAAAGCACTTGAAAACATTCTGCATAATAATGGCCACATCAGAGATATAACCAAACGCTTATAACAAGTTGTGCCAGAGAAGCACTATAATTAATTAGTAATCAATTTAAATGACGAAAATGCCTTGTCACGTGATCACTTTCCACTTAACACCTGAACTTGGCATAATTAGTAAGTGCAACGTTTGAGGGGAGTATTTGTTTTGTACTTATACCCTGTAGTCATTCGAACTCAGATCGAATATAGTGTATACGGAGCTATACAGGTGTAAACACACTTTTGCATATATAATATTGGTTGAATTAAAGCTATTACTAATAAATCACTGAAGTTCACTAATGTAAAATGCAAATGCAGGGTATGAGCTGGTCAACCAATCATTCGCAGATTCATTAATTAATGCAAATTTTGCATGACGTGTTGAATGAATATATGTGTTATGACGTTAGAACATCGCAATCAAAACAAAGCTGATTAGTAATAGTCGAACGAAGTTACTCATCTGAGTTTATTGTTTAGCAATCGGACAAACAAACCAAAATCCACACTTACAAGTAAACTTCTGACTACGTATGTATGTTAGTAGTAGTATATAATTTATAAATTCCAAAACAAAGTTGACGAACCGGTAGAATACACAACTGGCAATCAGTCTGTGGCTCTGTTGCTGTCTAGGCCAAGCCCAATCTCGACTCGTAGTCAAAGCAGTTATTTCATTCATGCTGGCTTGCCAGCCCAGCAGTTCGGTACCAAATAATAATAACAACAGCAAACTGCAACAACAACAATTATCTTCAATTATTTACAATTATTTAATAAAAACGTAAGCATAAAAGCAAAAACAACAACAACAACAACAACAGTTGCTGCAGCGGTGCATGCAAGTGCCACTGGCTGCAGTTACGTAAAAAAAAATATAATCAAAATACTCGTAGTAGTAGAATGATTACTTGTAGCAAACAGATAAGTAATCGAAGCTTTTGGCGTTATCGACACACATTCTTTTTTTTGTTTATTTTTTTGGACAGTGGAATTTTTTGTACAGACTGACGAATAAAAGAATATACGTCTGTGGCATGTCTTATTGTATTGCAGTTCAAAATTCGGTGAACAACCAAATCGAATGTTTCGATATATGTGAACAAATGAAATGATATTCACACACACAGTGCCACCAAGATAAGTAAATGGATATATGTATTTATCGACATATATATATATATGTTTATATATTTATTTATGTGTGTACTTTTGTATATATTGCAGTGTCGATACTTGAAACTCGGCTCGCATTTTAATACAAATAAACAAAACAAAAGCGAATGCAAAAACAAAGATAAATGCGCTAAATTTATAAATAATAATGATGATAAAATTGCTACAGTAAATTGAGACAAGTGGCTACAATAACGTAGACGATGACGACGCTGGCGACGTCAACGGTGACTTCTAAGACTTTTCTGCTCAATTAACAAAAACAAATATTGTGCAAATATTGTCATATCCAGCACACAATACCCTGTATCCACTTAAGGACTCATATGACATCAAAAATATTGTATATATATTAAGTAAAACAACAATACTCTTAAATATTAAAAAAAAACTTTACTATATTGTAAGTATATAATCGAATCTTAGGATGTATAGGTAGATAATCAGACGATAAAGTTATATTGAAAATAAGATACTTGAAAAGGCCCAACCAAAAAAAGTTTTATCTGTTTGCGCAAAAACTTAAACACAGATTAAAGCAGACGTGTGGTATATCTGTGTGGCACCTACGACTTACATACATATTAGTTCAAATATATATACGAATGTATTTATGTATGCATTAAGATATATTGCCACACCGGTTTCGATGGCCGGCAAACGCGGCGTATGCGCAACGCCAGAACGCGAGCAATGAGAATCGACAACGTCGCCGTCGTCTCCAGCTGTGTGAGAAATGCTTTACATTTTGCCCGGCTCTGGCCGCAGCGATTAGGTCACTAGCCACCGCAGATGTATATACAAATATATATACACATATATATGTGTACAGATTTATATATGTGCATATTTATATATATATAACTGAACATGCGTTTAAAGCGAATTCCACTCAATTTACTTATTGAGGCTCGACCATTTGTCGACCAGTTGTGCGTTTGAAATGCCTTTGGTTCAGCAACAGCATCGGATCAAATTTTACTGTGCTCTGCCCATTTTCAATGTTGCCGCATCTCTTTAATCTGTTTCTTAAGCTCCGACTTATACAATTTGGTTTTAATTGGACTTTATTTAATGGACTAAGCTGCTTACAATCGATTGCCTCGAAATGTAAAACATTTTCAGCTTAATTTCAAATCTCATCGCAAGCCCAATAATCGAATTATGCTTTAATTAACTAACGAACCAATGCGTAATAAAAGTTTTGAGAATCATACAAAATAGATATTAGTGATCCAATCGGATGTGCCGCAATTTATGGTAGCTTGTTTTCTGGAGTGAACAACTTAAATATGGGGCATGCAACTTTAATAGATATGCATGGCTCTATCTGTCAGATGACCTTCACTCAGCAGGACACATAAATCTCTTTGAACTGTCAGCTAGGATATTGTGGTTCATAGTTGCTGACCTCTTTCTATGTGGGGGGGGGAAGTAGCGGGCAGCTTATGAATACCCAATGCCATTTGTCGAATGCAGTCCGTTCAATGCCAGTGCAATGTCAATTAAGATAAAGCAACGGATGCCGGGTTCGCTCTAAAACAAAATAACAATAACAATAGCAATAACTTGTTGCTGACACACTCGTGGATGTATTCACACCGCCAGCTAGGGGAGAAATAGGTGACAGACACACAGACACAGATAGCCAGACGGACAGACAGACGGACAACAACGTGAATGGCTTGGAGTGCAATTGGCTCTGGAATTGGTGTCACAATCAGTTAGCAACAATTTACAATGAAATGCCAATGACGTTACTTAACAGCGTCTTAGGCTTCAGGGGTTAGGGTGGGATTATGATCAGTCAGCAGCTCACAACTGTTGGCAAGTATTAACGTAAAAGACTTGTTAAATGCTCAAAGAGGTTTGCTTGAAATGTTTAGATAAAAATTGAATAAAAATCGAAACAATTGAATTTGTATAAGTATTGCTCTTAATATAGTGTAAGCCCTAACTGCTGACTGCTTCTAACTTATAGCACTTTCTCTTTCTCACTCTTTATATCCTTCTGTATCTGTAACTCGTAATTGCATCTGTTATCTGCATCTGTGCCACATCCAAACAGTCGCCAGAGAGCAACAACACGGCGCATCGCACAACTTTCATAGAAATCGTGCCATTCTACACCGGATGCTGGCGCCGAAAAGAGGTATGACTGCAAGCTGAATACCCTATAGTTATCTTGTGTGTGTGTGTATGTGTGTGTATGTGTGTATTGCTTAAAGCCAAGTACATTTCCAAATGCAACTTTCAACAACTAGCAGCGACTGCTTCTTGGCCCGGCCAATTGGGACTATGTGTTTAGTTTTATTGGCACCAGTTTTATATTTTTATTTCTTTTTCCTTTGTCTTTTTTCTCATTTATCTATATTATTTTGATTTCTTTGGCCCAGAGTTTTGCGTGGGTTTTTTTCGTACGAAAGAAAAAAAGAAACCGGCTTTTGATTTCGCTAAGCGCTTCTTTTTTCAGTCTTTATTTTGTTGCCTTTATTGGTTCCTTTGACTGAATCGACTGCTCTATGACGTTATAAGCTTTAACAGTTGCCGGCTAACCAATAAAACTTTGGCTGCTTGGCTCATCTGATTTTGGCTGCATTTCCCAATTCATACACATACACATAGTTACACACACTCACACACACTCGCACTTAGCATTGACCTCACAGTCGACAAGTAACCTTTGACCGTTAGTTGTATGTGTGTGTGTGTGTGTTTTTTTTTGTTTCTTACTTTGTTTAATTTGCTTGTTTTGTTGCTGTTTCATAATTCACCAATTTTCATTGCAACACGAAATGCGTTCAATCCACTTGCACCAGTCGCACCACTCGCAACTGGGGCAAGTGGGGCAATCGCTGTTCGTGTGTATGCAAAGTGCACAAAAGCGTGTTTATAATATCGTAAATCCGTTCGACCTGCGCGTTATTTTCAACGACACGTGCACCCCATCGCTCCATATACAAACAAACATATGTGTTTAATTATACATATATATATATATATACAAAAATATGTATGTTTTCCAAGTACTGTGAGTGGTGTACTCTTTTTAATTTGCGGCTTAATTGAGTGGTTAATTATCAGAATAATCATCCTTCGATTATTCCACTTTAATCGCATTTACATATATATTTTAACAATTGCCAATTACAATGTTTTTTTCATTTTCATACTTATTTTGTTCCCTTTTTTATTGTTAGTTCAGAAATTTACTTGCACAGCACTCAGTTTTTATTTTTTACACTCCCTTTTTTGCTTTAGCTATGCATTTGTGTGAGTTATATTATATTCCATTCATGGCCTTGTAATTTTATAATTTTGTCACGTAACTGTTGAGCTTGAACTCATAAAAAATAGTTTCAAATCCGCATATCATTTCCAATAGTTGCTAGAAAGTCAGATCACTCTGTTTTAAGTTATTTTTAGAAATTTTCAGTTGAACTAGCCTAACACTTGCCATCAGTTGAAATCACCCCATTTAAACCTCGAATCGATTTGTTCTAATATTTTTTTAGATTTGCACATGTGTATATATCATTATCACCTATAATTCGAACAATAAATATTTGCACATCGCTTCGCAGATTGTGTGCATTTTAATATGATTGTTCCGTTGATAGGCAGCAGACCAACAAATTGTTTTTATGCTTTCTTTTTGCTACAGTTATTGGCTTTCAGTTTATTTTGAAAATATTTCTTCACTTATCGCAAATTGGTGCCGCTCTAAACAATTTTTAATTGGCAACGAAATTGAAACCCAATTTCCACAAAACATCTCCCCTCCCCCCAAAATATTCCCATAAAGCCGTTGTCCGTTTGCCGTTTATATAAACGAGTTTTCGCAGTCATCAATTTGTAGTCTCCAGTGAGTAATATACCCCAACCCCTCCCATCTTATTTACAGGCGAATAAACATGGTCAAACTGGCATGGGAAATGTGAATGGAATGGAACGTGTGCCGCCCATTGGGGGCTATCAATGGCCAGCTGATCAGACGCCCGGCGTCATGGGTCTTAAGAATCATGGCAACACCTGCTTCATGAACGCGGTGCTGCAGTGCCTCAGCCACACGGACATACTCGCCGAGTACTTTGTGCTGGATCAGTATAAGGTAGAACCGAAACCAAACAAAACTCGCGCATAAACTTCGATTTTAATACTTTCCTATCACTTGCAGGCGGATCTAAAGCGTCGCAACAAGATTAACTCACGCAAGTTCGGTACGAAAGGCGAACTTACCGAGCAGCTGGCCAATGTGCTGAAGGCGTTGTGGACATGTCGCAATGAGAGCGATCACAGCACCAGTTTCAAGGCGGTCGTCGATCGCTATGGCACACAATTTCGCAGCTCCACGCAGCATGATGCGCAGGAGTTTCTCTTCTGGCTGCTGGACAAGGTGCACGAGGATCTGAACACGGCTAGCAAACGACGCTACAAGAGCATTAAGGTGCGTTCTTTCTTTTTGTTAACAATTTATTGTATCCAATTGTAACTGTTTGCCGCTTCCCTTGCAGAACTCCTATGGACGCTCGGATGAGATTATTGCCGCTGAAACGTTAGCGAATCACATACGCTGTAATAATAGCTTCGTGCAGGCCGTTTTTCAGGCGCAATTCCGATCATCTCTTACGTGCCCACGCTGCCAGAAGCAGTCAAATACCTTCGATCCGTTCCACTGCATTTCCGTGCAGCTGCCTCAGCTCACCCAGCTGACGATCTTTGTGACTGTCGTCTTCATGAAGCAACAGCCGCGCCAGCTCAAGATGGGTCTGCGTGTACCCGCCGGCTCGCCAATTGTTGCATTACGCGAACTGCTCCAAGAAACGGGCATTGCCTCCAATCGCATGGTGCTGGTGGATCTCAGCTCGGAGGGATTCACGCGCGTTTTCTACGACACTCAGCCGGTGGAGACGCTGAGCAGCGTCGAGAACATCTACTGCATTGAGGTGCCCGAGGTCAGCCCAACGCCCAAGGCCTCCTTGGATGCAGACCCCGTTGATGCGGCAGAGAAACCTTTGGGAGCGCCACCAGCAACAGCAACGGCCCATTCTACGGATCTACTCTTGCTGGTGGCCAATGTGCACAGAACATCGGCTGGTGAGCAAGGCGATGCCAAGGCTGTTTGCAAGCGTTTTGGAGCGCCATTTAGCATGAAGGCGCCAAGGGATTGCAGCTACCAGGATCTGCAGAAGCGCATGTTGCGCGAGATGTCTTCACTGCTAAAGCCAGAGGTATTTTCATATGCAACGCCACTGCCAGACATGTTTAAGATACGCCTACAGGATCCATCCGCTGATCCGGACACGTATCTAGAGCAGGTGGAGCATCCGCTGCTCACCGAAATGATTGACATGGCGCTATCGGTGCTCTCCTCGGAGGCGGGACCAACGCACATAAAGCTGCTGCTGGAATGGAGTTCGCCCGAAACGCACTTTGTCAAACTGCAATCGGACGCCGATGCAATCGTGGAGCACGAAAGTGTGGCGCGTTTGAGCGCCAGTAAGCCCAACGACACCGCTGCCCTGACGCTGGAACAATGTCTGGAACATTATACCAAGGCGGAGACGCTCAGCGCAGAGGATGCCTGGCGCTGTCCGCATTGCCAGCAGTATTTGCCCGTGGTCAAGACGCTGGGTCTGTGGTCGCTCCCAGACATTCTGGTGGTGCACTTCAAGCGCTTCCGCCAGCATCAGGCCAAGGGACCGCAGGCGGCCAAACTGACAACGATGGTTAAGTTTCCACTCACTGCATTCGATATGTCGCCACATTTGGCACGCGGAGTACGTGAGAGTTGCAGCACCTTGGGCCATGCCATGGATCAGCCGGCAACCAAGAAATCACGCTCGGGCGACTCACGCTCCTCCACGCTCAACTCACGTGCTGAGCCCAAGGATACGCGCTATGATCTGTATGCCGTGTGCTATCACCAGGGTGATACACTGGAAACTGGCCACTATACGGCCGCCTGTAAGAATCCCTACGATCGCCAGTGGTACAAGTTTGATGATCAGCGCGTGAGTAAAGTGCCCGAGCTGGACATCGAGCAGGACATCATCAACAATGAGGCCTATATGCTCTTCTATCAGCGACGCAGCGTTGACGCCTCTGCCGAATGTTCTGGCTCCAGTTCCAATTCGGGGGATCATTGGGTCTCCCGCATTGCACCGCCAACAACTGTCAGCAAAGAGAAGGAGCTCATTGACCCGAGCACTGAAACGCCGGAACCCATTGCAGCTGCTGCAGTGGAGAAGGCAAATGCCAAACCAGTTGCTATACCCATACCAATACCCATACCCATTGTTGCTTGTGAAATTGAAGAGGGCGATGGTGAGTTCAGGTCGGATTACATTCGCAATCCATATGCTAATCTCTACTCTTTTGTAGTTGTCGCTGCAGCAGATCCCAAGGCTGCCGCAACCGATAAGGGCTCCTCTCCTGAGGTGCTGAACATTGAAACTTTGGCATATGTTGACGCAGATCCGGATGCAGATGCGGAGTTGCCAGCACTGCCAGAGTCGAGTGCTGAGCCCGTGGACTCTTTGCCCGCGCCTCCAACGCCGCAGCCAACGCCGAATACTGATGTCACAAACGCTGCTGTTACTGCTGCTGCTATTGCTGCTGCAGCTGCTGTTGCTGATGCGGATGCAACGCAGATCTTTGCCATGGACGAAGACTGCTCTGATACACAGCGCGAGGCACCTGTATGTGAACTCGCTACACCCTCAACTGCCGCAGTGATAGCCAGCGAACTACCTACCCCTGCTGAGGCCGCCACCAATGGTCATGCGGCCAGCTCAGGCAGCTCTTCGGCCTCCAGTTCGGCATCATCGGTTAGCTCGCTGTCGTCGCGCTCCTCGCCACGCTCGCTGAGCACTTCGGTGACGGCTGCCTCCACGCTGCAAAACAAATTCAATGGCCATAAGAATGTCGCCTCAGCAGCTGCGGCGCTGCTCAATGGCAATGCAACACCGCAGTTGTCTTCCAGCCTGCAACTGTCGCGGCATGCGCTGCACAATCACTGCAATCACAATTGGCAAGGCTCGCGCAGTAGCGTCTCGGCCATCGAGAGTGCCACGCAGCAGCAGCAGCAACAACAGCAGCAGCAACAGGCCGCCGCAGCTAGTCTCAGTCTGCGGCACTCTTTTTCCACCAGCTCCAATTACAAGTTGCGTGAATGCAGCGAGACTTTGTCCTCGCTGCTGCGCAACTCAGCCAATACATGCAGCAAGGACACGCTGTTATTTATAGATCAGCAGAGCCATCATCACACGAACGGTCTGATCGAGGACGATGATGATTCGTACATGGGTCGCTCCCTTTGGGTAAGTGTTGTATGACACTCTAAACGGAGTTCACTAACTAATCGAAACTTTCTCCTCAGATTTCTCCCGTAACACCACACAAGTTAATTACCGTCTCGCCCAAGAATTAGTGAAGATATTAATAATTGATTTATATTCAGACTCTCACACACAAACGCACTATAGCTATAAGCCTAAAGTTTACTTTACATATATACATGGAATATTTCTATACATAACAAACGATTGATGTAGTTACATATACATATATAAATTATAAGCAAAAAGATGTTATACAAACAACGTTTACTTTAACAATTTGCGATTTCAAAACATATATACATATATAACATGTTAGGTAAGCTATTTGCAATATTGCATTCAGTTCAAAAGTTGAGCAGCTTTTCAATATCGTCTTAAGTTAATTTATTGATGGCAATAACGAAAATCCTGACACGACAACATAAAACACTGAGAATTTTCACTATTGACATTGCATTATTTATATATATCTACGCATATATATTATTATTTATTTAGTGAAATATGAGAGTACAATATGATTTGATTACAGTTTCTTTTCATGCAACAACAAGGCAATAGTTTTAATTATATATTAATTTTTGGAATTAACGAGGAAAGTGCATGGCATGTAAAAGTAAACTTTAGTTTTTGTATTTGTACACGAAACCAAGTTTCAAACTACGTATTTATGCATTCATCCTTTGTGTATGCATATGTGTATATATTAATTTCATTACACGACTAGTATTTGTATTTTAATATTTGCAACACACCTTATGTATATTAAAAAAAAAAGCAACAAAAAAAAAGAACTTGGCACAGCTGCATATTACTTTTTCTTGATATAATATAATATACATTATAAGAGTTATACATTTGTAATGTATACGTATGTGTAGGAAAGCATTAAACCAAAACATTATATTGATAACAAATGTTGAAAGACTTTGAAACATTGTTTTTTTCATAATGTACACTTTATTATTATATACATCAATATATACATAATGATATGAATATGAATGATTCAACTATTGTATGTTAAGAGCATGTTTATTAGTTGACGATGTGTGTAATGTGCATTGTATTCATGAATAAACGTGAAATTGTTGGACATAAAATTCGATTTTCAAATAAAATCACAAAGAATCGGAAAATGATAACAGCGAATCATTTGAAGCTCATTCCGAAGAAATCTTTGGCGCCTTTTAAATCGGGCTATTGATGAGCTCATTTAGCAGAGAATTGAATGGCATGTATAATTCATTTCTTTAAAATGTAAGTTGCTTCTCTTTTTATTGGGGGTCAACATACTTGTTATTCGAGTTTTATTGTTGATCCTAAAAGCATGCAACAATAATTGTCGCACAGGTGACTTCGAACTTGACTCGGGCTTCTGCAGAACTCATTGGCAAAGCTTTCTTTACACTTTCTGTGGTCATGGCCATGGCCACTCGACTCTTGCGCTCTCTCTCTCTCTCAGCCTCTCTTTCTCTCTCTCTCTCTCACTATTTTTCTCTTGCTGTTGGGCAACTTTAAAAACAGAGGTTCAATGTCTGCTGCTTGCGCATCCAGAGACTTAGTTCAGTTACTGCACTTGCCGCGTCGAGTTCTGTGAAACGCACGAATCGTTTGGAATAAAGGTCAATTCTGGTGAGACTAGTGAAGAGCTATTAAAGTTGGCCGTTTTGGAGTTTGGTGCCAACATGGATTATCGTCTACTGGTGGTAAGCACAAATGTTTAAATGTTTAGCTAACAGCTAGTTTGTTGCTTAAGTCTTTTGTTTTGCACTGCGTCCAGGCATTTACTGTTAGCACAAATTCTGGAGCATCAGCATATGTATGTATGAATGTGTGATATACATATATAGACATGCTAATGAATTGAAGCGGCGAGCCAGTCGGCTTTGCTACACACACACACACACACACTCTGTGTGCGCCTGTTGGGTGTGTTTGTGTGTGTATAATTTTAGCCTGGCATGGAGCAACTTTCCCGTTACCTGCCTCGCGTATTTAGAACAATTTAAAAGCACACACTCACGCATAAACTAACGACAAATTCTGGCCCCGTTGTCCAGCGGTGCTTTGTATTTATTCTGCTTTAAATATATAGTCATTAACTTTGCAGATACAGTAATAGCATCGCCCAGATACAGACATAGTAGTAGTTGCAGTTGTTAGGTCGCGGTAAATGCGGTCAGCAGTAGCTGCAATTAGACAGCAATTGCAAACGTCCCATAAACTGAAAAAAATGTATATATATATATATATATATATATATATATATATATATATATATATATATATATATATATATATATATATATATATATATATGAGCAATCTGAGCAATAAAGGGTACACATTTCGAAAATGAGAGCAGAACGGGTTTCACGCGAAGCGTTGCCTCATTAGAATAAATAAAAAGAAAACAAAAAATCAACACTAGCTGCGACTGACCCAATTTCGCTGTTTTGGAATTCCGAAAATTGTGCGGTGAATCATGTCACGATCGAGATGCAAAGCACCACAAGCACCCGCATCCAAACTGAAATTGCTGAGCCATGGCCGAAACTCTCGCAGCTGGAGTCTGAGAAATTTCTTTCAAAAGTGCTGGCCTAATTACAACTGGGAGAGGGGAAAAATAATGCGACTTGGAAAAGTCGCGCTCTCGAAACGCCCACAATTTCGAGTAGTCCGCCACTTGACCTGAATCCCCGACCCATCACACACTCTAAATCTGTGGAAAACCTCAAACCATTTTGAAACTTTTGATTTCATTAAAATAAATAAAAAATAAATAAAAAATACCAAGTGGCAGACAGAATTTCAGGGAAAGTTTTTCTTCTTCCTCAAGTACCCGATAATGAGATTAAGATGCAAAAGTAACACTCTCCGGTCAGTGCCATTCGTTGTGGCTGTTATTGCTGCTGGCTGTTGTTTTTGTTGTTGCTGTTGTTGTTCTTGTTATTGCTGTGTTGTTTAGGTTTGTTTATTTTGATGCCTGCAAACGGCGCCGCAGGTCGAACAACTTTCGCGCTTTCGCCAACAAGCCAGCTAGCTGAGAGCGCGTCTTTGTGCCCATTGGGCTGCGGCCAATGCCACATTCAAAACCACAATGCTGTCCATTCAGAGACGTCACAGCGCTAGCAATTAATTTGATTTATGCTATCACCGTTCTTTATGTCCATTAAAAAAATGAAATGGATGTAAATAACACTATTAATGTTAAACTTGTTTTTATTTTCTGTTATTTTTAGAAAATACTCAGCTTTTTGCTGCTCTCGCAGCTGGCGACGTCGCAACAGTTGCCACACTCGCCATCGCCGTCGGCGGCACAGGCGCAGACAGACTACGGCGAGGAGCCACCAGAGGGCTACTATGCGTTTGTGGAGTCACCGAATGCAGTGCCGCCCCGTGTGCGTCCACCGCCCTACACCTTCATCAATGCCGACTGCAAGGATGTGGCTGCGGGCAAGAAGTCGGCGGTGTCCGTGCACAATATTTGCGGTGATCTGAATAAGGGCCAAATACCAAGAAATCCTCTTGGTCAAAATGTGCTCGGCGAGCCATATCCCTTGTAAGTTAATATTGCCTGCCAATCATCCGGCTGAAACTCCAATATCTTAATTCCATGCCCTCAGTGAGCTGATACGCAATCAGACTTTGAAGTTTCTGTCCAAAACGCTGCCCGTGCTGAAGGCAGACGACACGCTGCCCAAGGTAACGCAAATCATACGCGACGAGCCTGTGGAACAGCTGGACAACAATAACATCGATCGGCACTATGCCACGCGCGTCACACGCAGCCTGCCCGATGGCGTCCAATCGAATGAATACAGCTACTTTGATCCCGCCCTGGATGAGGAGCATCAGCACCAGCAGCAGCACCAAGAGCAGCGACGCGCCACCGAGGAACGCAAGCCTCGCAAATTCTGTGATGGCGGCGGAGTGTAAGTGCAAATTGTGGATTAACAAAATTAATTATTGATAAGAATCACATTTTCCAAAAAACTCGAGTCAGTTTCTAATCCTGATTTCTATCAGTGTATATCTTTCTAATCCATTCGGGATTTAGCAATGTAAACCTTTCGAATCCATACGGGATTTATGTTAATATTGATTTATTTAATTGGCAGATTCTGCACACTGTACCGCGCCATTCAGGGTGACACCAGTCCCGCTGTGGCCGCTGCTCAAACAGCGGAGCGTCGCGAGGAAGTTGGCCCAATCCGCTATGAGGGACCACCGACACCGTGTCCAGCCAAGGTGGAGTATGCGACGCCAGTGTTCGCCAAGAACTATCAGGGCGCCTGGCGCTATGTGGTACAGATACCCTACGAGGGCTACTTCACCCAGACGGTGGAGGTGACTCGCTGCATCCAGGCGCGCTGTCATTACCTGGACGGCGGTTGTTTGTCCTCGCCGCGCTGGGTTAGCCTGCTGGTGGCGGAGATCTTCTATCCAAATGCGGAGGACACAGTGCCGAGCAGCAGCACGACGACACAAGCACCATCCGTGCAGGACTTCCAGGCCTACCAGCAGTATCTGCAGAAGCGAGCGGGCGTGGCCAACGCCTCCGATGGCAGCACCAATGCACTAAATGCTGCTGGCAGCCAGCATGCGCCGGCCGATGCACATTGCGATGGTCATGACGAGCTGGGCTGCTTCCAGGTGCGGCTCTACTACGACTGGTTCTTGATACCCGGCAGCTGCAAGTGCTGGCGTCCGGATTACTTTGCCAAATACGTGCGCCGAAAGTCGGTGGCTGACTTATAAAAAAAAACAAAAAATATTTAAACTTTAATCATAGTATTTAGAGCGAGGCAAGAGTGGGGCATGAAATGCTCATTCTAGCGTTCCGCCAAAAAGGAACGCGCAGAGTTTGCATTTCTTGCAACAACAACAAAAATAAAATCAAACAAAAAAAATGACTACATAAAAAGCATGAATACAAATGCACACATATATATTAACATATATATATGTTTGTATGTGTGTTAAAGTGAGCAATTAGCTTTCCTTGACTGAATACCAGGCGAATCGCATTGAATTTCTACTAATAAATATTTTATGCTATAATTGTACCACTGTGTATTTTATGCTTGGGGATTCAGCTACAGATACTCACGATGCTCCAGCTTCAGCTAGGCTACGGCACGCGTTCTTGTATTGGTATTTTGTGTATCTGTGTGTGTTCGTCTGTGAGTGTATGTGTGTATGATGTAGGAAAATCAAAACCTGTCCCGCCAGCCACTCAACCAGTTGCGCATGCGTGCGCTGTTTGGTCTCTGCAGTCTTCCCAACCAGTCGGTTGGGTTTGGGTGTTGTGCCGCTCTTTGAGACGACTAACAGTGCGCTGCATTACATAGCCACAATAATATAAACATTGTTGCTGCGAAAAAGTTGTGCAAGCCAAGACAAGACAAGCCAAGCCAAGCCAAGGCAGGCAAACAAAGCCTTGACGAACGGCCTCAAAAGGCTGCCATAGAATCGGGTTTCCGCATCAACAGTTCGCGCTGCAAGTGAGTAATTAAAAGAACAAATTGCTCAAATCTTTGTTTATAAACAAAGATTAAGCAATTGCAAGCTTTGCTATGCCATTATACTAAAACTTTAACCTTCTTGAATACTTTTTAAATGTGTTTATTTTATGTTGATTCAAATAAAAAAAGCAACGTATTTTTTAGAATAGTTGCAATCGAATTTCACGAAAAATATATTTATTTATTCATATGCGATTAGATTGGAATATTAACATGGAATTTGGTTTGTTAGTATGCCAAATTTTATGTTTATAGTTTTTTTTTTTTTCGTTTTCTGTTGTGTAATGAAAATTAATTGCGAAAATATTACATATCTTGAATATGTATATTAATTAAGAATTAATTAGCATAAGTTTCCCATCTTTGTTCTTGCGCGCTAGTTGCGAGTTTGTTGCCAAAGTCTTTCGTTGTGGTATTTATGCAAATGGATATATCCAAAATATGTATTGAGCGCACAGAATGTGGGCGAAATCTTTGATATCATCAATTTAATGTATGCACACTTTCCATTTTGTTAATTTCTAAGCAAACATCTGAGATTTATAAGAAGAAAGAGAAGATGCTCTCCAACGGCAGCTGCAACAAGAGCGGCAGCCTCAGCTCGCTGGACGCGCTGCCCAAACAGTTTGTGCTCTCCATGAAGAAGCTGTTCGATATACTGGACGATAAGCATAGTGGATATGTGCGTTATACGGATATTGAGAAGGGCTGGCAGGATGATGGCTCCAAGGGGCTGCCGCAGGGCGTGCTGGATTCACTGCATCGTGTGACGCCGCCCAGTGGACTTTTGTCGTTTGACCGTTTCTGTGCTGGGCTGAAGCTCTGCTTGTTGCGCAATCAGCAGCAAACACAAAATCTGATGCCAGTTCATGATAAGCCGAGCAAGCCGCCTCGACCGCCATCGGCACCACAGCTGCTTAGTCTGAATCTGGAGATCAGTGCACCCACAGCCAAGGTGCGTCCACGTTCACAGCTGACACTGAGCACGCCGCCATCAGTAAGTCCCGAGCTGGAACCGGATGTCGAGTATGGGACGCCTACGCCACCACCTAAACCACCGCGCCAGTCGGCAACCGCCCCGCCGCTGGCCAAGGCGGACATACGCAACGCGCTGCAGAACTGGCAGCTCAGTCTGATGCACAGCGAGAGTCTCAAACAGAAGAGTTTGAAGACGGCACGCGAGCAATTTGAGCATCGCGGCTCAGCGGATGGCGGTTCTTCCTCGACATCGGCAACGGACTATGCTCTAAGCGGCTTAACGCTGGCCTTGCCACTCAAGAAGGCTAACAACAAGCGGCGGGAGTCAAGGAGACACACATTGCAGCATGGTATTGACTACAACATGCTGAAGCGACTGAAGCAGCTGGAGGAGCAACGAGAACTTTTGCTGTTCGGACTGGATGGAGTGGAAAAGGCGCGTGATTTTTACATGCAGCAGGTGCTCAACGTTCAGGAGCAGATCAAGTATTTTGGACGACTAGGCACACGATTTGTAAGTACCAAATTATATAAATAGATATATTTTGTTAACGCTTGTCTGTGCTCCAGGAACAATGGTCGGAGCTGCAGCAGGAAAGATTGAACTATCAGCGAGCACGCGTTCTGGAAGCCAATCGCAGTTTGGATTTACTGACAGACACCTGGGAGCATGGCGGCTATCCGCTTCACATTAATCTCGCGCTGCCCCGCAAGTCCTTGCAGCACCTTAACTTCAAGTCCTATGCAGCCAATGACGCCGAGCTGCTGGTCTGTGAGAAGCAGGCGCTCATCTCAGAGCTGTACGAGCAGCAGCATCAGCATCAGCAACAGCATTCACAGTTTCACAATTTGCGTGTCGCACGCACGCGAAATATGACAGACTTTGTACTTAGCCAGCCATCGCCAGTGAGCCAATCCTCCGCCGGACTTGGCGATGCGGACGTCGTTTACTGAATCCGACTATAAATAGATACGTTTTAAACATTATGTAAATAGAAACATATTTTATTAAGTGGCTCAACAATGCAAAAGGTACTCTAGAATGTCAACCAGTCTAATTTGGATTTGGAAAACGTCTCATGTATTTGTTCAACTGTTTGTAGTTGAGATTGTTGCCGGGTTGCACGACGCCCTGGTTAACGGTCTTTTTAGCCTCGAACTTGCGGTCCATGTAGAATTTGTAGCATTTCTGGAACTGATTGATTTCCTTGTTGCAATACTTCTCCACGAACTCGTTATCCTTAAGGCAGGCAAAGAGCACGCCCATCTCCTGCAGGCATGCCACATCCGAACCGGAATCCGCCTTGCCACTGACTGTGTTTTTCAGTCGCAGTGGCAATATCTCCTGGAACGGCACCTCCTTCTCGTTCTGTGGCGCACGACCGCGTGCCGCAAACAGTGCTCCTGGTATACGCATCTGTCAATTATTTTTCTTATACAGATTTTCTTTCAATATTCACGAATTTTTGTAAATTACCTTCTTTTATTTTTAATGAGTGCGTGCCGCTGCAATCAGCTGTGCGATGTTACGTCAAAAGCAAAATTGAGCGTTTGCCAACACTAAATGACATCAGTTCTGACGTTAAGCAACACTGTCGCACGTCAAACTCTGGTCAACTAAAAAATTACACAAATAAAAAATACATATGGTAGAAGTAAATAATACAACAAAACATGGATGCCATTGATGCCAACCAGCAGGCGCCGCATCTAGCCGACTTTGCCGGCAATAATGAGGCGGACAGAGAACAGTTCGATGCCGCAGACATCATGAATGATGCGAAACTCTCCACAAATGGTGCTGGTGGTGCGTGGGAACGTCAGCTCTTTCGGTTTCATCAATACCACGGCTCCAACATACGCTTAGAAGACGATGCAACAGTCGCCTTTCGCCGCACCAGCTTCGCGGACGCACTCACATTCTCCGAGCGACCACTGGTAAGTTTCAATTGCATTAAACAAACTATATATATGTATGTCTGTATGCATACGAATATATCCATATATGCACATATATGTATGTAAATGTGACCAGGCGAAGCTCCAATTAGCAAATTGATTAAGGTGATGCAATGTTTCAGGCACCTGGTGAAATTTTCCTAGTTGAGATTGAGAAAATCGAGCGAGGCTGGTCGGGACACATGCGACTGGGTCTGACGGAGCTCACACCGAATATTATTGGTAAGCGCAGCGAAGGACTGCCACATTTTGCCTTACCCGACTTGGCCAATTTGGGCAATAGCTGGATATATCCAATCTCTAAATTTGAGATGAATCAACGACAGGAACAGTGCGGAGATAGTGTGGAGCCCATTCCAAATGAACCTCCACATCGTGAGTATCACATCACAATAGACTTTTCCTTGAAGAGCATTGAAATGACTCAATCCTCGCAGGTAATCTTCTGGGCGATGCGACGCATGTGCGAACGCCGCGCGGTTTATTACCGAAGAGACTTCTGCGACCCGCGATGGACAATGGCAACTCAGATATTCTGCTCACTGACAGGGGCTCGCGCATTGGCATTATATATGTGCCCACAGAGACTGATGCGTCCAAGGGTGAATTGCACTTTATCATTAATGGCGTGGACAAGGGCCCTGTCTCAAAGGAAATACCATTAAATAGGTCACCCCTATACGTTGTTATCGATGTTTATGGCACAACAAAGCAAATACGCATTATCCAGTTGGAGGGCAGTAAGTATTGATGTTGCATCCAACTACTCAACTTAATATGTTAATGTTTATTTTAATTTTCCATTTAGTTCTGTCCTTGCAAAGCGCTTGTCGTAATGTCATACTGGAGCACATCGCAGCAGGCGCTATTGCGCGACTTCCACTGCCGGAGAGCATTAAGCGCTTCTTGCTGCGTCGAGATTAGGAACTGAGACAAGGCGCACACACACACATACATAAGCACTTTATGTAATAGAGTGTTGTGTTGGTGTGGTGCTGTTGTGCATGAGCGTGCGTCGTGATAGCCTGTTTACCCATTTATATTTTATACGCATTGTAGGCAACTGAAGTGCCGTTCATTGACTTTTCATTCCCAACAAGCGCCGGTTGGCGTTCTCATTGCTTGCCCGCCCTCACGCAAAGAGCCCTGCCCTGCCTAGCCTAGACCTGTGCACGTTACGGAAAGGCGGCTTTCTAGTGGGGACGAAACTGCGGTTTCTGATGGATTTCACACGAATTTGTATTTTTCATTCTGTAGATATAGCTTATAATACTTTGGTTCCGTGATACCAGTTCATTATATTTATATTTTATATATGTAGAATATGTTTGAAAGCATCACATGTATTTTACTCACTGTTATACTACAACCAGCGAACAATTTTCCCCCGTCTCACAATACGTACATACCTCGAAATATGTACAAAGCGCTTTGATTGCATTGCATTATGAAAATAGCCAAACCCTATTTAAATGCAAGCCGAGCCGCTACGCGAGAAGCTCCCAACCAAGCACCGATCTGCCTTTTAGCCGTTTCGGTCCATCCCAGGGCGATTTCCGTTTCCGTTATGTACCTTTAAGATTATTGTTGCTAATTGTAAAATAAGAGTATAATTACAATGTGTAGTATGTAAAAATCGATGTAATAACACGACATAATATAATAAGGGATAAAGTGTACGTGCATTGTATGTAATAAAGACATGATAATATATATATATAAAAAGGACCTGTGTTGTATTTGTACATCAAAACAATCACATAAAAGAGGAAATCATTGGATTTTCGTAAAACTTAACTTTATTCAAGCACCGCTCTTGTGTACATCTCTGTTGGGCATTGTGTATTTATATGTGTAGTATATAATATGTATGAATTGATTAGTGGTATTTGTTACTACTTGGCGGAGCGATTCTCGGCCAGTTTGGCCTTGAAGAGTGCCTTCAACTCCTCGGCTCCTTCTTCGTTAGTCTCCTTGTAATAAGGCAGCTCGGCCAGTTTCTTTAGCCAGGCGTGCACCTTGGGAAACTTGAACTCATCAATGGGAGCGACATCATTTCCGGATGACAAGGTGGCCACACAGCAGAGGTCAGCTATGGTCAGCTCATCGCCGCACAAGTATGCCTGATCCTTAAGGAAACCCTCCAGAATTTCATAGCACTTCTGAACATAGGCAATCTTATCGATGGAGCAGTCAGTGGACCCAAAGTAGAGAACAGGCTCATATAGAAAACGCAAACGCGCAAACAGATGACCCGAATCCAAATGAAGGCGAGCATCGACATGGGCGCGCTTTACCAAATCCTTGGGATACAGCGACTCCTTCCCCTTGCCATATTTGTCAACAAGATATGCGCATATGGCATGCGAATCTGGGATGCTAGCATCACCATCGATCAACGTGGGAATGGTGTGCTGTGGATTCAATTTCAAAAACTCGGGCGTCAGATGTTCACCTTTCAGTAGGTTAATTGGGCTACAAAAATTGGTGTTGTTGTTAATTGGCTAAATGCATTGTGAGTGGCTGATGCTGGGGTTGCTCTTACCGCAGTTCAAGTTCAAGTCCAATCGCCTTGGCCGTCAGCATAACGGCGCGCGAGGGTGGGCTCAGTGTGGCATAGTAAAGTGCTGGCTTCGACATGGCTTCAGCTAAGTGATTAGATTTTAAACACGTTAATTAGATTTCAAAATTTCAAGTTATGATGCCAACACGTTGTAAATACCATTTAGATCGCTAGAATTTTAGCTCATACCTCAAGTAATTGGGATTCAGTGTGCCACTCAATGGGCGTCGTTCAGTCCTAGATGTGCCCATGCCCGCACAACAATAACAATAACAGATAACCCAAAGGTAAATGATAAGCCGATATCAGCACTTCTATGTTATACATGGACACATGGACACACATGCATTCACCTGAACAAATCTAGCAAACAGCTACACATGCGATGGGCAGGCATGTTATCTGTATGCATATATACATGCACACACACACGCACACATATATATATATATATATGGCCGACATAATATAACTGCATATACATAGATACATCTACACAGAGCGACAGAGCGCGGCACACACAATATATATATTTAATTAGTGTGGGGCCAGACTTACACACACACACACAAAGTACGCAAACTAATAGGAAAAATACAGCCAGATCTTGCCATTAACATTGCCGGCGATTTGTTGTTTTTATTATGCTCATATGTATGGGTGTCTGTTCGACTGGCGTGAGAACAAAGCAAATACACAGTAGTAGTATATAATTTAGCGGAGTCACCTCTATGTATACACACACACACATACATACATATTTATATAAATATGTCTGTTAGGGATTTTGCGCATCCAATATGCAACTTACATATAATATAAGGGGCAACAAGTTTTGTTTCTATGACCGCTCGCTGTGAACTCGGAAACGTGACTAAAAACGAAACGTAACGAATTAGCGCGAGCAGCACTCACCAAATGACAAAAAGTGGGAGTGGGAGAGACGCCAGAGCTTAGATCTGAGATCACATTTGGCACTGAAAGAAATTTGTGTGCACCAACATACAAAATAAAAGTACCATTTTCAATCAGTATGTAAGAATTACATATTCTGTTCGGATATCGTTATTACATTTTAATTGTATATTTAAAATAAAAATACTAGTTATTTAGCAAACATGCAAAGCACCATCGAATAAATAAATAATCCGTTTTTTGGTACGCTTGTACCAAATATGTGAAAGGTACAACTATGTTTAAGCCCACACTTTTCGAATTCATAAATGTGACATTGAACAAGAGTTTAAAGACAGCAATTCAAATCTTCCGAATGCTAAAGAACAACAAGTACATCATTGGTCTTGATATTGGTGAGCAAAAAGTTTAATGTATTCATCTTGGTTTATTCATAGAGTTTTGGTACATGTGTAATCGAGATATTATAATCACGTTAACGAGTAGGTGATTACATATACAACTATTAAATATGAAATAATAATAATAATGAATATAATACCAGCATTTCGGGGTTTGCTTTCGCCTTAGACAATCAATGGAATATTAAAAATATGATGACTATTGTCATATGGTAGTCACCATGGAGCACAAAACACATCAACTAAATATAATGATTGGAAAGCAAATATTTTACAATTTGGAAAATTACTTTAAAGGGAGCATTATACAAGATATACAATCAACAGCTGGGTTATGTGGACATGCACATCGTTATTTAGAGATTGTTAGTGTGCATCATCACATTAATTCTATTGTTCCTACTGCATTGATGGGTTAAATTAGTTGTCGAGCATGCTACGCTTAAGCGCCTCCTCCAAATCGGCATCATAGCTTTCCGCCTTCGAATAGTCCGCTTCAAACTTATCAGTTATCTTGGCCAGCGGTTCCTTTCTCTCCTTGCCGCCGGTAGTGCCGCCACCATTGTGTTTGCTCTTGCTCTTGTTGGCATTGCTGTCATCGAATGAGTTGCCAAAATTATTCGAAAAGTTGTGAGCATCGAAGGCATCAAATTTAGCAAAATTATTATCTAGAGTCGTTGAATTCGCCTGCTTTTTGTGTCCAAAGCTATCCTCAAAGTTGTCATTAAAAGCATCAAAGAGCTTGGATTCCGTTGCCGAGCTGCTGCCTCCACCGGTTACGGCGAAAGCATCAAAAGCGGCCGATTGCGATATAGTGCTTAGTTGTTCTTGCGGTTTATTTTTAATCGAGTCAAGGTTGTTGTCATTGAAGTTGTCATTAAATGCTTTGAAAAAGGAATCATTGAGTTTGTTAACATTTGCATTGCTAGGCGGTTTCCTTGAGGATTGAGTAATTGTGGTATCAGTTGCTGTTACGACCTTGCTGGGCGCAAAATCATCAAAGTCGGCGAATGCATCCAGCGATTGCTTTGGAATCGATGCGTTTGAGTGATGGGACATCGCTGGGCTGGCATTCAAGTTGAAGCCATCGAATTGTTGCATCAATTGGCTATCCAGCGGCGTTGCGGTCTTTGATTTATTATTGTTATTAAAGGGTCTGGCTGCTAGCTCATCTGCAAGTGGAATACATTTATTAATTACCACATGCAATTTCCTTAATTCTTTAAATCCTACCCTCAGAGCTAAAGTCCTCGGCAAAGGTCTTTTTGCTAGCACCTGATGTTGTCGTGTCTGCATCTTCATCTGAAAAGGGATCTTTAATATTGAATGGATCTTCATAGCGATAATCCTTGAATGGATCATCCTTGAAGTCCGTGGGTCCTTTTATAATCGCTGGCACAGGAGTTGCTGCCTTCGTGCTTCCAAATGCATCAAAAATGCCCGTTCCTGTGCCTGTTCCAATTGTTGTTGCCTGTGTCTGCAGCGGTGTATTGGAACGCGACAAATCATTGTTATTTGTGCTGATTGCTGTCACAGTTGATGCGGATACGGATGCAGTTGAAGATGCTGATGTCAATGTCAATGGCGATGAAGTCTGTGGGTTCAGTGGCAGTGTTGGAGTGCTTGTGCTGGCTACTGCCTTACTCTGACTCTGGCTTTGTTTCTGAGGATCATCAAACAGCGAAAAGCTATCGAGCAGCGTGGCGTTTAGCGCTGGTATGGGCGTGGTCGTGTTTGGGTTACTGATTGGAATGTTTTGTAGCTGTGTCGAATGGGTGAAATAAGTAAAAAAAAAAACATATATGTGTGTGTATGTGGGAGAAATAAAAATAAATGTAAAACAAATTAATTTAAAAAAAGATGAAGTATAAAATAAATAAAATATTCATATATACAAATATACTAGATATTAGGGATTTGAATTTACGATAAACCAAAAAAATAAAGCTTTGTTTTATTTATTTATACACTGGATTAGCTGCTGTGGAGAGAAAGAGAGAGGCAGCGAGAGTGAGAGGGAGGGAGGTGGAGCTCACGCGTAAAACAAAGATGATTTAACCGGATGCGACAAAAATGTTTCTTTATTATCGTTATGGCTATATTTAATTTATTATAACTCACTTGTTATATGTATTATTATTATTAATGATGTCGAACATAGATATTTTTCTTGTTTTTGGTTTTTGTTTTAATTAATGCAGAACTTTTTTTGTTACACATTATTAGGGTTCCCATTATATGTATTATAAGTATGTATGTATTAAACATTAAAATCAATGCACGGGAAGCTTTATGTTTCGGTATCTGAACAGTTTTGTGGTGTGTATGTAAGTAGTATATATAACCATGTATATATATGTATGTGATTCAAACAAATATCGGATAATTGCTCCATAACATACAAACAATAGTTCTGTGAAGGACTAGTTTATCAATAGGGACGATTACCTACTAATAAGCAAACGTTTTTCGATCCATTTCGAATTCTCGCTAAGCTCCCACTTTCCTAGTCGATGGCATTGTCTTTAAGGTATTAATAATTTGATTCTAACCGACGGTTGGATAGTTCATTCCATAGCTCAAGTTGGAAAGCAATACGAGTTCGAGTTCAATGTAACTTCTGTTTCTGTAAAATTAGTCAATAGACGGTAAAGCAATTTTGGAAGCTACATGCCAAGGAAATTCGAACTATTTATGTATTTCTGCATGTAAGTGGATCATAGTTGTAAATGCGCCTATTTAGATGTGGATCAGCAATTATATATGTAAAATTGTTATAAACTTTAGTATCATATGCAGAAACAACAACAATTTGCATTTAAATTCCTTATTTGAGTTAAACATATATCATTCTATCATTCACTTTGAGACCAGCAATTCTTCCAAACTAATCATTTCGGCGTGCACTTATTTATTTAAGAAATATGTAATATGATAATATGATTGATTGGTCATTAAACGAAACGACGAAATTGCGAAACGCAATCTCAATGATGAAATGCTTGTAATTATATAATAAGTTAAATACAATTATTGCACAACATTTCAAAAAGTGACGCTCATTAAATTTAAATTTTCTTCTTTGACTACATTAAACACGACATAACGTTTTCTTTGGGGCATTTTCTTGACTTGATTTCAATTGATTTAAAGTTCTCGAATTCGATTTAGTACATTTATCTAATAATTAGGCATGAAATTGCGAGTAACGGCCTGTGTGCAATACGAATACGAATAGGCTGCCGAATCGAACTCTGATATATGTAGTATATATGTAATGATTATAAATATGCAACTAATTTTTGTACGCTTAAAATTTGTTTTCTTCATGTTGCTAGGCTCAATTTTTGACTGAGTATGTGTGTGTTGTGTGTTAGTATTATTATATTAATTATGTTATATTATGTTTATATATATATATATATATATATATATATCTATATATATTTATATGCATTTATTGAAATATGATAGTTATTAAGATGTTCACTGAAAGTAGAGAATTGCAAGAGATGAAAGCAAATAGTTAGTTTCGTACGGGCAGCAGAGTTAACGCAATGTGGATAAGGGTCAACTACCTCTTACATTGTTGGCCAAATCAAAAAGCCGTTGAATTCATATATGATTTATCGATAAAAAATTAAAAGTTCTACTTAATAAACAGGTGCATCAGATTAGTTTATTAAAGTGGGTTTTAGCAAATCGAAATTAACACAACTACAACAATTTCAAAGATGGGTTAGTTAAAATAATTAATAACGATATTAATAATAAGTAAAAATTATACTATATATATATAGCTATGTTAATGCAAACAAGAAAATTTACAGCTGTGATCGTTTTAACTAATCTAAGTAACAAAATAATGGTTAATGCTGTTGTGCGGTGTACATGCATTACCACCGATCCCAATGTACATTTAACTTGCTACCAACCTTATTGTCAAAGTCGTCAAAATCAGCAAATCCTCCGCCGCCGGCACCGCTGGTGCCGAAACCACTCGATGGCTACAAATTATGGAGATATTAGCTAAATATATCCGATCAAATAGTTCTCACAAATATTATACCTGTGTTGCGCGAGGTGGGGCTGGTCTGGGAGGCGGCACCTTCGATTTCTTTGGGGGCAAAGCTGGACTAGGTGACTCCGGTCTTGGTGGTGGGCCTGAACGCTGGGCATTGGGACTAAGCACCTGACCCTGGCCAGTGGGCGCGTGCAGCGCCGCAAAGGGATCGCTGCCAAAGTCATCTTTGCCAGGCTGCAATATTTATGCATATAGAGCCATTTATATTTACAAATCATTTAAAGTGAGCCTACCTCCGGCGTTATAGCATTGGACTTGTTAGCACCAAATGCATCAGCACCAAATGGATCGCGTTGCGTTTGCCCAAAGCCGCTTGTGTTGCTCTGGCCAAATGCATCGAAGCCGCTGTCAAAGCCAGAGCTCATATTGAAGCTATCGTCAAAGCCACTGCTGATGACAGGAGAAGGTTTGCTGACCTGCCCACGGAAGGGATCGTTGTCAAAGCCATTGGTTGCCTTGTTGGCGGCACCGCTGTTATTCTCTCCAAATGGATCATCTGTGGGTATTTCGATTTCCTTTTGCAACGTTTTGCGCGCATCATCAAAGTCGGGCTCAATCTTCAGCTGGTATTCGGAGACTAGTTCAGCATTTTGAGTCTCCATGGCGGCGCGACAAATAAGTAGCGCATCGGTCATCTGACGTTGCGTTTCCATTAGCTGCGTAACCATGGAGCGCACCTGTAATTTCCGATACAAATGAATATGTTAATGTTTATAAATATACGAGTATTGTACACTTACGGAGCTAATCTGCAGTTGCGTACTTTGCAGATGTCTGGTGAGCTTAGATAGTTCGCCATTGTTGTCATCGTATTCCTTTTGCAGTGCCGACTCCTCATCTTTGAGCTTCTGCAGTTCCGAGCGCTTAGCATTCAGTTCGCCCTCCTGCTCGTTGATGGTTTCCTCCTGCATGTGGCACTGATCGCGTATCTTGTTGACCTACAATAATATAGACAATAAGCTGATTAAGATGCGAAATCCCTTAAATTGTTTTATAGCACAATCAATAAACAACCATTAACACATAACACGAATGAACGAAAACATACAAACACAGACAATGTAAAGAAAAATACATAATAAACAAACCTGAACATTGGTGTGGGTTATGTCAAGACTTACGTTGGCCAACACGGCCAGATTTTGGGTAACCTTAACGAACGTATATAGTTTTATTTATGTGCATTCACCAGTTTAGTATGAGTAATTTGTGTTTGGAATAATAATTGCGTACCAATTTGGGTTAACAATGGGGAACATAATAAATAGAAAAGGGAAATGGAAATCAAATTAAAATTAAACCCAAGTCAAAGTTAAATTAAAAGTTAACAGCAGCAGTTAAACCCAAAATAAAAGCAATTTAAGCAAAATCTAGACCAATATCATGCAATTATAACTACTTGAGCCTGCAGATCATCCAGACGCTTCTGTGCCTCGCCCCGCTGATTTTCCAGCTGCTTCAGTGTTGCCGTCAACGTGTCCAATTCGCTCTGCAAGAATCGCACCAAACCATTGCAAATAACTAGGTACATTGTGGTCTATATGCAATACGAACCTGCAAGCTGCGCACTTCCCCATTCTTGATACGCACATCGGCCTCCTTTTGTGCGATTTCCGTTTCAAGAGCGCGTCGCTCTTTGGCCAGCTCTTCGATCTCCTTTGATATCATCTCCAGTTCGGGATTCGAGTAAGTTGGCTTCGTTTCCTGCGGCTGCATATCGACACCAGAGACGGTTGCACGCATCGAAGGCGGCACCATATTGGCAGTGAGCACTTGTGGCGGATCCACACCGCGCTGCTTGCGTTCAACAAGCCACATGGCCAAAGCAAACTGCTCCACGGTCAGTTTGCCCGATTGATTGGTGTCGCAAAGTGCCCTGTTAAGTGATGCATTTAAATAAAATTAGTCAGCCTTGTATCTAGTCAAACGTATCCACAATCTAGGATCATAATCTTAATCATAGTTTAATTTTAATAACTAACCAGATATCTGCAAGGCTGCGTTGTGGTATACCCGATTTAATGAATATGTCTTTCACCTCGAGACCGGAAACCAGGCCATCCTTGTCCAAATCCGACTGCCGGAATATCTCTTCGAATCGTAAGAGCTCCACAGTGCTAACCACCCAATCTGCATTGGCTGTTACCGATGGTGGCGCACCAATTGGTATCAGTGGCTCAGTTTGTATCAGCGGCTGTGAGCTGACTGCGCCAACCGGTGGAATGCGCGTCATGGGCGGCACAGCAACGGGAAGTGGTGGTATGGCTGCCGGCGGTGCAATATCTTTTGGAAAGTTGGCCACAAAGCCACCATCGCCGAAACCCTCGCCACTGGGTGCTCGCGGCATTGCCGCGCCAACACCAGAACCTGCCGCTGGCTGCGGTGGCGGTGGCATGGCGGGCTTAGGCGCTTTGCGCAGCTCTGGCGGTAGCACACTGGGAACTGTGCGCTTCTGAAGTGTCTGATAGACGAGATGCATGGCCACAATAAACTCATGCTTGTCCAAATTGCCATCCTTGTCCTGATCGGCCAGATCCCAAATAGTGCCCAGTATATTCATCGGCAGCTTGGAGTCCATCAGTACACCCTTGACCTTGTTACCAGGCAGCATGCCGTTGCTTGGATTCAGCGATTCAAACAGCTGCTCATACTTAAGCCGATCGATGACACTGATGGTCCAGTCACCACTGGCGGCCCCGGCGCCGGGACCAGCAACTGGCACCGATTGTATGCGCGAAGGTATCGCCTTTGGTATTTCACCCTGACAAAGTGGTTGACACAGTTATTTTTTGTGGATGTGGGTGTGTAATCGGCTTCGGCCACTGGCCAATTGACTCTTACCACTTTTGGTGGATTGACTGTATCCATGTAGATGTTGTTCATGTTGGCCACCTGGCCCGCTTGCGACAGTGAGACTAGCTTGAGGGCCACAAAGAAGCCAGGCTTGTCCAGGAATCCCTTGCCATTCGGATCGGACAGATCCCAAATACGACTGAGCACCACATCGCTGAGGCCAGACTTTTTCAAAAACTTTGCCGCCGTCATCGCCTCAATGGCACCCGTGCCCTTCGGGTCAATCTACAAAAATCAAGAAATTGGGCACAAGCGCAAGCCGAAAAAAAATCAATAGGGGGTTGCAAAATTGACCCGCCACACACGAAATTGCAGCGGACTCGTTACCTGTTTGTAGTATGCCTCGTAGATGAGGTTGTGCTTGCCACACACTCGAGCAAAATCCAAATTCATGATGGGCCCCGTTTCTCGTATTTAGTGTCCGAATTGAATACAGAAAAGCAACGGCCACTGCCTCGCTCTGTTATCACTATCACAAAATCGATTTTTTTTCTTATGGGGTAAGTTGAGGGCGGAACTCGCTCGCTTGCTCGCTGGCTAGTGGTGCGAGTGTCCTAGTTTTTTAACGTAACGTTTTTCACGTATAACTGGAACAGCTATTGTTTTCCAGTTGGGCACATTATGGCTACAATTTAATTACACACTCGAAATTTAATTTTTGCTTTTGCCTTTTTCAGCATCGGCCTCTAACTAGTGTTGAACAACATATACAATCACACTCAACCACTACTTTACCCAACACTGCAAACAGGGCTGCAGCATATACAGTTTGTGAGCAATTGAATATGGAAAAGATTTGAATTTTTTAAATTCCCAAAAAATTGTAATATTTTTATTTCTGTGTATTTAAATTTATATATAATAAAGTTCAGTTTTTATTTGTATATGCTTAGCTTGTTAACTACCTGTTGCAGCTAGATAAAGAAATAAATACGTGAGTAAATCGCTTAAAGTAAACGTATTCGACAATTGGTGGCTCCACATTGACAATAGAGAACTTTGCCGGGCACCACGCCCACCTCGTAGTTATAGTTCCATGTCAGCTCTGTCCCGGACCGTATATGGTTTGCCGAGAAGAACGCGACCCAGGGAAATCGAAGATCATGTGTGTCCACAAACACGTTCTGCACGAACAAATTGGGTGCACAAGAATGCTGTTGAAAAAAACAAGAAAAGATCGCAGTTAAAGATTTTGGCTGTAACACTTTACGCACGTACTTACATTAAAGTAACGACCCAAGTTGCCAGTTGTCTTTGCGTCCATAATGTAGGGCGCCTCGTCTCTGCCAAAGAGCCGACGCACTGAATTCTCGCGCACTGTTTCATCCAGATCGGCATTGGGATTGAAGTTTATAACTGCCCGCTCCTGCGAATCCGGTTCATTTGAATTGTTCGAGTGGCTTCGCGATGCACGCAGCTTATCCTTTTTGCGCGGCTGATAATACTTGGTGGGTGTGAAATCAGCATCGTCCTCCGGATCTGGGGCGTAGGTGTCTTCTTCCTCCTCCGCTGGCGAGTGTTCAACATCCGATTCATAGCCCTCCTTAAGTTGCTCGGCCACTTCAATGTAATCCAAGTCGGCAAAGTACTCATCGCCCGCATCCAATCCGCCCTCGTTGGCCATTGTTTCGGTGAGCAAGTGACCCGCATAGATGCAAATGAATGCACCCTTTGGTATATCGTTGACGCATCGCAGACCCCAGCCCCGATTCGACGTCTTGAAGACCTGTAGCTTCATTTCCAGCGAATGCTGAACTACTCGATTTAGGCAGTTCTTTTTGCACTTGCATCGGGAGTTGCATTCGTAGATGCCGGTGGGAACATGCTCGTGAAGACGCTTGTATTGATAGCCGATCTCCTCAATGGGCTTGTTGGGAATGCAGTACCTGACACCGCCAACAGTTAGCTGCCAACAGGCGCATTTTGATTTGTCCTGCAAACAAAAAATGGGAGTTAGAATGATCATTTTAAAGATCGCCATCGATAGCTTACCGAGCAATCATCCTCGCAGTCACAGCCCACCAGAAATTCCTCGTCGAGATTCAAATGCACTCCCTCTGTGGGTATGCGCTGTTTGGCATAGGTGCAGGGCGGCGGCAATGTGTTGTCATAGTAGTTTACCAGTGGTATGGCCATTTTCTCTTGACCCTTCGATATGTCCGCCTCCTTAACAATAGTTGGATCAATAGAGTACTCTGCCAGGCAGCGCAAGTCCGGCGTAAAATCAAAGTTTTCAACATTTAAAACATTGTCCGTGGCACGCAGATACATGTGCACTTCGGCCAGATTACGAAAACTCTTGCCACAAGGTCCACGATAAACGACATTACGCTTTGCCTTCTGCTTGAACACCAAGCGTTCCCAACCAGAAAGCAGCGGTTTAGCCAACGGACTGTAGCTATCCAGGCGATGCACAATCTTAAACAAACAGGCTGGACTGCATTCGTGGGGCGAGTACATTTTGGGTGGCAGATTGCGCTTGGCCGTAAAGTAGACAACATGACCCTTGGGCCGGTTCTCATCGTCTACGTAGATGGTTGAGTTGTTCAAATGACGAACTGTGTTGCGCGCTGCTGCAGCAGCAGCAGCATTGGCAGCTGCCGCAGCAGCAGAGGATGACGATGACGTGTTAACGTTCTGTGGCACGGAGCTGCTCTTGCGCGCAATTGCACGCATTTGCTGGTTCACCTGTCTGCTGCTCGTCTCCATCTCCTTAGTGTAGCGTATGAAGGGTTCGGTGCGCTGCCAACAAAACAAATATTATAAATAATATCCGTAAGGAAATTTGAAAGCAACTTACGCGCGGAACACGATGCTGTTGCATGGCATTGGCGCTGTTGAGCGCATTTTGCGTCTCCTTGAATACTGGCCCCAAGCGCAGGGAGCCACGATAGATCCATTCGGTGTGATTCTTGTCATCATCGAATTGCATCTGCACCAGGCTGCAGTCAATGTCAATTACGCGTGCATATAGCCATGTGCCGTTGGATTCGGTGTTCATGTTTTGGCCACGTGTGCATTGCACCATTGGTCGATCCACTGAGTATTTTTCCACATACTTTTGTATAAAGTCTCGCGAGCCGGGATGCACATCCTCCCATACTTTCTCCGATGCCAGACAAACCAAACGCACATCGCTGTGCTGCACATACTGTGTGTAGCCATCATCATAGAAGATTAAATACCTAAAGCGATTGGCCTGTTTCAGTGGCTCGGCTATAATCCCCGGATAGAATGCGCTGGGTACGACGCATTTCTCCTTGCCGCGCGATAACGTGCTGCCATTAAAGTAGGCTATGACGCGAGTGCCTGAATAGTTTATTTCAATAAATAAAATTTAATAATATGTTTAATAGTTGTAACTAACTTATGAACTGCTTTACTTACCAATAGTCAAGCGAACTGGCGGCGGCTCGAAGTAGGCTAGATGCTTGGCTGTTATCGTTTTAACCATTTGATATGGCGTATTAAGATACTTAATCTTATAGCTCTTTACCATAATGCCGCCCACTGTTGAACTCTCTGTAAACTCGATCACCTTGACCGACACCCAGCTGGCAATGGCTTTGTTCTTCACAGCGTAGTAGGTCTCGTTCAATTGAATCGGGGGTCGCTCGATCTCTCCCGCTGGTGGCACTTGCTGCAAGGAGTCAAAATCCGAATAATAGCACTATTTGTTTTGGAGATCAGTCACACCTACCACATAATCGAGCATATTTTGGTAGAGGTCAAGTGCAGGCATGTGCTTGTGCACCACTTGGCAAGAGCTGTACAGGGCGAAATGCATTTTGTCAGCCATATTCTGTAGCTTGCTCAGCTCTTGGTTAGCCAACTCGATTTCGTGCCCTATGCGCTGTGTTTTTGATTGTAATATAGTCTTGGACCAAGCCATCTGGTCCTCTATCTCCACTCTGCCCATAACAGTTTTGATGGCATCCTCCAGTTCATCTTCAATCAGTTGCAAATCATTTGACGAAAATTCCGATTTTTCTGCGCATGGAATTCAATATTTTAAAATGTTATATTAGGCCGGTTTTTGCGCATACCCTGCTCTATACAGTTTTCCTCCTCGTCACTGCTGTCCAGGGCCACAAAGTCTGCGTGTTCCTGCTTGAAGTTCCGCAATAGCAGAGGCTGCTTGGCCACTAGGAAACCAGCAAAGTCCTGAAACATATTGACATAACATTATATCTAGAGCATTTTAATACGTACAGTGAAGCTTCAAACCTCGTACATATCCATTGCTGTGTCATAGCAGCCCACGCAGATGTATTGTCGCTTGTGTGCCTTTCTAGGCACCTTATAGTAGTTGAGCGCTGCCAGGGTCGCCAGCATGTACTGCTTATGCATCTTCTGGCAGTTGCAATTGAGGCAGTCCTTCTTGTAATAGATTTCAGTATCCATTTCATATTCGAGGTTTTCTTTCGTGTCACCGTCGGTGTTTAGCTCGACCAGACAACTGTTTTCGTTAGTCTTGGGCAGCTCATCTACTTCCATAGACTCCGAATTTTGTGGTTCTTCATTGGCCACAGACTTTGCTGCATTATCTGGCATCTCTTGTTCTTCTGTGTGAATGTCTTCTGCGGATTTGGGGGAAGTGTGGGAAAATTCTTCAATTATGGCTTTTGAAGGAGTGGCTTCATCCGACGGACTTGTGGTCTTCGCTTCTTCCATATCAATTGATTTAGCTTCTGTGATGTCTTCGTTTTGAATTTGCTTTTTCGCGTCATCTACGTCATTGTCATGGGGTATGCTTTTTGATTGTTCCTCATCTTCCAAATTAGATTGTGCTTCTTCATTGGACACGTTTTTGTTGGCATCGTCTATATCTTTGTCAGGACTACTAATCAACTCAATGCTGCTGTCACTATCCACTGCAGTATCCTTCGAACTCTCCTTATAGCGCAACTCTTCCATAGCGGGACTCTCAATCAGCTCAATGCTGCGATCCAAATCGATTTCGTTTGGTTTGAGTGAACCAGTGTTATCTGTTGTACTTGTAGTTTCAGTCACCTCCTTTTCCTTGTCAGGAGGACCAGTTTCATCGATAATGGGACTACTGATTAGTTCAATGCTGCTGTCCAAATCAGTTTCGATTGGCTTATCTGAATTAAGTTTTTCTAATGAGCAGTCTGTATCTTTTTTGGAATTTTCCATTGCTGTTAATTCGCTGATACTTTTTTCTAACTCGGGAGCATCCGCATCTGCGGCAAAGAGGTTGTTCGCTTTGGATTCTTTATTTTCATCTATTTTACTTTCACAGGTGGATGGGTCAATGTTCTTCTCAGAGTCTGACACTATCGGCGGATCAGAAGGTACATCATCTAATTCCATAGCTTCTTCGAAAGAAGTCAATTTCTCCTCCTCGACCTTCTCCTTCTCCATCTCCATTGTGATAGTTTTTTCCTCAGCGGCTGTCTCCGTTACCGGCAAAGCCAATTCACTTGCAGCTGGTTTGGCCAAGGCGTCAACCGATGTCGCATCTTCGTGCTGCGAGCAATTCACATTAGCAGATGCCGAGGCCATTATGTATTTTGCGATAATTTACTTTTATTTTACAAAAAAAAAACAAAACATTGGTGTTTAAAAAATTATGCAGGAAAGAACAAGAGCAAGTACTTTATCGGTGCTGTAAAACTTTTTGTAGTGCGTTTGCCAACACTGTAGCAAGAAGAAGCACGATAACTCATTCTTAACAACTTTCCTGGCTTGCGTATAAAAGAATTGAATAACGAGTTTAGTTTGCGAGATTTATAAGATTTTATTGACTTTGATATTTTGTTTTAAAAGATTGTTTAAGATTGAGAAACCTCGGGATGGTAACCAAGCTCATCGGCAGTGTAGGTAACCTTGACGTGCTTTCCTTCCTTCGATACGTATTCGTATGATCCCTCAACAGCAATTGTCTCAGGATCCTTCAGATGTCCCGATTGTGCAACTTTGATGCCTTCGGAAGTTTCCACCTCATATTTGAAGCTGTCAGGATTGACTTCGCTGAATTCCTTAGTGACAACGGCATCATTAGCGTAAGCAACGGCCAAAAGGCATGCGAGGACAATCTAAAGTATAAATGTTGAATAGTAATGTAAAAATGTATCCAGTTGAAAGTTTTGAATAATTGTACTCACCACAAACTTCATGCTGAAAGGGATATTCAGTTATTGGTCAGCGAACTGCAAAACAGATCTGATGATATCCAGAATTCCGCTATGCTTTTATAGTCATTCGTACATTCATAGGTTGACATTTGATAACTTGTTCGACGACTGACATAAATTAAATTAAATTTGATCTGAACGTTTTTGCTCAATTATACAATTGTTTTTGTCACAGTCATTTAAATAATTTTAACTATTACTTTATGTTCAGTGGTTTTTTATTCTGATTCGATTTTTATTTTTTAACTTTTGTTACCACGCCTTTTTCCAACAAATAAATAAATCGAGGAAAAACTTTATAAATCAAATTCTTTGTTTAAATACTCAAACTAATACCAATTGCTGAAATCTTTAAAGGTCATGATTATGTGAATTTAAAGATAAACCAATTTCTTGATTATGAAATCATTAGATGATTTTGCTAAAAAAATTAATTTGCATAATATTTGTATAAGACGACCGGTTTGATTAAACTTTCTTGCTATCCAAATGCATCAGATAGTACTAATCAACCGGATCCATCAGATTGTTGTGCAGCAAAAAAAGTTAATAAATAATATGATCAGATGCTTTCAGAAGTACAGCGCTTACACTTCATATTAGCGCCAATGTGCAATTTGATAATAATTTTAAGATAAGTTAATTAAATAAAATATTTAAATTTGAATTTCGCGCAAAATATTGCATTTATCAATACTTTAGTAAGAAGAGGAAAAATGATTGTAATTAGACATTCACAACGAAACTTTATTTTGACACGTGCTGAAGTTGTTTAAATATTGTATTTGATTGTTCTGCATATTATTGAAAGTAATGTCGGGAAATGACGGAGATTCCGACTCTAGCAGTGACTATGAGGTGGAATTACATATAAAACCTAAAAGAGTGCGTCGCACAGTCAACGATGACACTGCTGATCTTTTGGGTAACTTCGACGACGAGAAACGTAAAGAGATTTTTGAGGGTACTTATGTAGACAAAGAAATTGAAGGAAATCCAAGCGATTCAGGCAGCAGTGATGAGGCAGATAAATCAGATGAAAACGACGATGATGCTAAAGCTGACCAAGTTGCTGATGCTGCAGGAGCTGACAGCGAAGACTCCGCGTCCGAGGAGGAATCAAACGAAGATGGTCATATCACCAGCGACCAGTTAAATACTCTGCTGCGTGGTGCCTCCAAGGTGAACCGGCACGTGCTGTACGTGACAAATCTGAACTTTGAGACTACAAGGGATGATTTGGAGGCTCACTTTGCAGTTGCAGGGACCGTTAAATCAATACGCATCCCAAAAAAGCGTCGTGGCGGCTTTGCCTTTGTGGAAATGGTGGACTTGGCCGGCTTCCAGCAAGGCTTTAAATTACACAACACCGATTTGCAAGGCAGAAAAATTAAAGTGCAAATATCGGAGGCTGGCAAAAAGAAGTCAGCCAACAAGAAGAACATTATGAAACAGAAGAATCGCAAGCTGGCAGAGATGCGCAACGAACAGAAAACGTTTACAAAGAGCGGCAAATTCTTCGATAAGGATTTGAAAAAAGAAAAGGCAAAGGAACTGCTGGCACGCAAGCGCTGGCGCAAGCATCCTGCTCCTAGGAAAAACTAAGATTTGTACTATAATATATCTTATCATTAGTGAAACAATTTATTTTAATATATATACCTAATCAAAATATAAAACCTCAATGTGTATATTTGTGTCTATTGCCATCGCACAATGTAAAAATTACGTTTGCCCACACGTAATAGGGATACTCCATTACGGAGTATATGTATGCCGGTTGTAATAACTTCTGCGATGTTCTGCACACGCTTCTGGTTTATATAGAAGCCACCGGCATTGATAATACGCACGGCATCGGCTATAATTAAAGGTATAGTTAATACAACAGTGAGATAAGTTTGAGAGTAACTCACTTTCTGTGGGAAAACATTTGGCCTTCATTGCAAGCTGAAGGATTGACATGCCAGGCTCGGTCAGTATATCGACGACGGTAGCACCTTGAAACGTTTGTTTGATTTCAGTATAGTTCAATTCGGCCAAACCATCAACATTGCCTTTGTAAAGCGCATTGGTAACACGCTCCGCTTGCTTTAAGCCATGTTCTGTGGACCAAAAGAATTTATAAATAGCTTAACTGATTGAAGAAGCTATTTCATTTACCGCCATGAACCAGCAGGGTGACATCTTCTGCCAGCAGCGTCTGTGCCTTGCGTTTTTCTGGCTCCTTGGCATGTTCCCGCATCAGTTGTTCCACCTCGGGTAGGGGAATAAATGTGAACAGTTTTAAAAGCTTCTCTACTTCGGAGTCAGGCATACGTAAAAAGAATTGGTACAGAGCAAATGGCGATGTTTTCTTCTCGTCTAGCCATACAGCATTTCCAGCTGATTTGCCGAACTTATCTCCCTCCTCGTTGGTCACTATGGGTAGTGTCATGCCAAACACTTCTCGATTGCCTTCAACACGACTAATCAATTCGTGGCCGGTCATTAGGTTACCCGTTTGATCGGAGCCACCCATTTGAAAGCAGCAGTTGTGCTTACGCAATAAATGCAACCAATCGTACGCCTGGAAGATTTGATACGTAAACTCCGTGAAGCTCATGCCGTCCTCTGACTCCAAGCGAGACTGCACGGAGGATCGTGACAGCATCGAACCCATACGAAAATGTCGACCCATATTGGCAACAAAGTCAATTAGATTTAGATTAGCATACCACTCGGCATTGTTAACAATTCTATGGTAAATGGATAATATAATATATTATAATATCAAAAATATATAACATATGGATATACTACTCACTTAAGAGGAACGAACGGAGAACTGTCCTTTCGCGCATCCCATAAGCAATCCTCATGGTTCTTGAACACTTTGCGCAGCTGCAGTTCAATTGCCTGCAGATTCGACTCAATAACTGATACTCCCATTTGATTGCGTTCCGTTTTCCGTCCACTTGGGTCACCAATTAGACCAGTGGCGCCACCCACTAACGCAATCGGTTGGTGCCCGGCTCGTTGGCAGTGCAACAGACCCATGATCACAAGCAAATTTCCAACGTGCAGGCTGTCGGCGGTGGGATCAAATCCAGCGTATACAGTTTGAGGTGCGCTCCTAAAGAGCTCTTTCATCTTTGGCCTGCAAAGTCACTGTTTTTAATACATAATGCGACTGTATTTCAATAACAACTTACCCGGCAGTATCTGGAAAAATGCTCTGAAAGAAACCGCGGTCTGACAACTCCAACAAATTTTTGTGTGTGAAAGTGCGTTTGAAGTTAGTACAGCGGCTGTGCACCTGCCGTATCAGGCAAGATTTTAGGATTAACATTATGCAAAATACAACATATATTCAAAATTGTGCTCGCAGATAAATAAGGAACGCAAAGAAGAGGTTATGCTGAGTGTCTTGCAATTCGCGACTACAGCTGACAGGCAACAGCTGTTTTATTGCTGCCTTGCGATATAAGGTTGTAGACTGAGGAAAAGCGTGTGACGTCATGTATGCTCAACAGCTACATATCGGAATTGACGCCATGAAATGAAATGCTCTCTCGCAGGTAACCTTTATTGTGTGTGTGTGTGTTTTTTTTTTTTGTTTATTTGTATTTCAAAACAAAGAAATATATTAGTGCTCAGTGTTTAATTGCTTTCTGTCCTGTGATGGCAACTGTTTACTTTATCGCTTGACAATGCTGCTGAAAATACGCCATGCACTGCTTGAAGTGACCAATCAATCAGCAAAGCAGTCAATAAAGCAATCGGCGATTATAATCAACAATGAGATCATAATTAGCTCCAGCAACATATTGCAGCCCCATATTCGTTTAGCTGGAGATGGAGACAAAATTATTCAGAGCTTGCAGCAGTGTAAGCTTGTCGATGCTCAGGATGAGAACTGTGCCCAGGGTAAACTGCTGCGCACTTTACATTATTTGGTGACCTTTGATCGACAACGCCGGCGACTAACTGATCGCAGTGCCCAACAGAATTCCACCTCCCACATACTGACTCGCTATACGGCACAGCCTTTGTACGTCTTTTGTGCTGCTGAGGTGTCCAGGAATCTGCACAAGATTTTGATGAACGCCGACTCTGATGAGCAAAATGTGCTGCGTTCCAGTTTTCTAGTATTAACCATGCGGGAACTAAAGGAGCGTGAATCCTTCAAGCGTTTCCTTCAGCATATTGCCAGCTATTTGCGTTACTTACAACCAATTCACACACTTGACGATGTGCTTGTTATGTGCTCGCCCTTCGGCTTGGAGAACTTCTACAAGACCATTAGCATTGGCAAAGTATCCAATGTGATGGGCGCTTCGCTGTTTGGCCTATCGAATGCGCTGCCATTGGGTTGCGAGGGGGCAGCCGTCTTCAACAATAATCTGTAAGTGTTAGTGAGAATGATGATAGTACCAGTTTCATTAATAACCATATATTGCAGGCGCCTCATTGGCATTATTATATGCACATCATTCCAGCGAGACCAGGAGAATGTTAATCTGACCTTGGCTGCCAATTTTGGTTATCTGCTGCGCGATTTTATAGCACAGTTGGGCACGCCGATTAGCATGCTGAACCTACCGCGAGAGCCATCAAATTTTGCCTGTATTTAACAATTATATTATTGCCAATGCGTATATTAACAATTTCCATTTGTTATTGTAGGGGAGCGCACAATTGTTGTCATTGGATCAGCTGGTCAGCAAGGCACCGGAACTTTCATCAAAGTGTACAATAAACGTTTCATTCTAACATGTGCCCATGTAGTTGGTCAAGTATGTATACATTTATATAAATTTCAAGAAACCTATATCTGCTAACTGAACATATTTTATTTGCAGCCCAATTCACAAGTACATTGTCGTGCTATCGATCAAGAATTCAAATCAGATGTAATTTGGTGCAATCCGGATGAGAGTCGTCCCTACGATTTGGCCCTGCTCACCGCTCCTGAAAATATACCAGAGCATCATTGTGTACGGATGTCACGCAATCGGGCTACCTTGGGCCAGACTGTGTACAATGCTGGCTTTCCATACTATGTGAACTTTAACTTTAAGTACGACTTCAATCCTTCCATATTCCAAGGACGCATCATAAAATGTGATCAGGGCGCCATAATGTCCGACGGCAGCGTACAGGCCGGTCAAAGCGGAGGACCAATGTTTGACCAAAACGGCAGCATTCTCGGTGTTTGCGTCTCCAACATTAAACACGAGGATATTGTGTACCCTAACATAAATACCGCCATTCCCACATTCGATATACGGCAAACGTTACAGGAATTTGCAAAAACAAGTGGTGAGTTTAAGGATTCGTAAGCTATATAAATCATTTTACATTTTTGCGATTTCATTGAATTTTAGATATTAAGGTGCTGAACAACCTTGTCGCAAATCAAGATGTGTGCCGCGTCTGGTCGTTGGAGATGCCTCTAATACAAAGCAAACTTTAATATGGGTTTTCAGAATGTTCCAATCTTGTAATATATGTATGTATTGTAAGATGTATTGATGTAATTCTAATTCTAACCAAACAGGTTTGTGTATTTAAAATAATCAATATGTAATATATATGTATAGATACATTTTTAAAACAACAGAATTGTGTGCTCTGAATAATAAGGGATTAATTCTTATCTAAGCAATCATTAACATGACTTTGCAGGACAGACAGCGAGCTAAACGACTTTAAGCAAATGGGACAGCGCATAAAGGAATCCGATGTCCTGGCTGCTGCTCCAGTTGGATCTAAAACCTATAAATGGAATAAGAAACCAATGCATTAATTTCAATGTATCTGTATCTTTTATTCGATTGCATACTCTTACTGGCCGCTGCTCAGCTCTCAGACTGCTTTGAACGGCGCCTGTTGCTGTGTGGATGACCTTTTTGGAATTGTGCACCTCAGCTAAGCTTTCAATTAACTCTTGATTGCGTCGCTGCAACGCGCGCAGATCCACCAGATATTGCTCCTTTTCGCCTGCATTCTTTTGCCGATCAGCGCGCTCCATTTCGAAATCACGTCGATATATATCAATCTGGGTTTTAAGATAAGCAATCTCCTCATCTTTTTGTGCATCCTTTGCCCTTAGCTGGTTGACATCGACACGCATTGCATTAAGTAGCTCTTCTGCGCTGGTTAAGTTTACCTTAAGACAGTTTATTTCGTCGACATAGGTTTTCTTCTGTAATTTAGCAGATTGATTATATAATTTGGTGAGTTTTGTATACATTGTACAAACCATGTCTTTGATTTCTAGATTTTCGGCCAGTAATTCAGAGACCTGTCTCTGAAGATCCTTGACTTGACTTTCATGTTTTTCGCGCTTTATATCGATTTCAGGTTCCGCATTGTCAACATCAGGCACAAAGTCGTAAGAATGCTGTCAATTTTGAAATTAGTTACTCTATAATTCCGATTACGATTAATGGCAACTACGCATATTGTATTACATTAAAAACTGTTTCTTATCATGCCCTTTAGCAGCCATATCACAGCGTGATAAGATTTACAGTTGTCCAAATATATTTAACTAATACTAGTACTACTTACCAATTGGTGCTGTTGTAGCTTGTCAATTTGAACACGCATATTATTAATTAGAGATGATTTCTCTGACACACTTTGCCTAAGATCATCGTGCTCCTTCTGGTGCATGTCTTCAACCAAACGTATTTGCTCTAAGTTTGTCTCGAGCTCCTTTTTAAGTTGCTGATTTTCCACGGTTAACTTCTCAATTTGCATCTGACATTGCTTTAGTTGATCTTGATATTGTTGCTCTCGGATAGCAGCTTCCTGTCGCCATTGTTGTGTAATTTTATAATATTCCTGCATCGTATGGTTGACCTTATCTAATGTTTCTACATAGAGAGATAATGAAAATGTTGGGATTAGGATAAATGTTCTTATATCAATGGTCTTACAAATAGAGTAATTTGCCGAAAGGTTTGAAAATAATTACTTAAGTTTGAAATTGAAATTTGAAAATAAAAGTACACATCTGTGGAAAGATAAGATAAGAATTAATCTTGTAATTCTTTACATTACAAAGGTTGTCTACTGCTTTCCCTAGATTAAAACAAATGTGTACTTTTTATATAGCACAATCTGATTAATACTGAACACACGTTTTAAGCCTATATACTCGGTCATCATAGTCTGCAGTTTAACGACATCCTCAGCGCAGGCTTGCATCGAACAAAGGCTGGGAAACTGCGAGTACACGCTGTTCTGCTAGAAATAAGGATTAAATGGAAAAAATAATCAGAATTACCAAATGTTTCATATTTGATTATGTTATGCATACCTTAAGCACATCGGGCTTGACCTCGCCCATAAGGAAACCAGTTGCCAAAGAAGTTTGCTGAGAGGGCAATGTTGTGGGTAGACTTCCCTCCGCAGATTTAGTCTGCTCCGATAAAGTGCTCAGCTGACTCAGACTGGCTGGTGAATCTACATTACTTTGAGCTTGCGGACCGTCTTCCACAACGCTTCCATTTTCTTCCATTTCCAGGCCGTCGTGAAGAGAATTAGCATAAAAGTGGAGCGAAGACAAAGGCGAACTGCCCAAAATAACGAATGACTCTTCGTCGGACATTGTGCATCGACTCACTTCAGTTATATTACTAAACAAAAGAAAATAATCAGTCTTGTGGAGTAGATTTACTGGGGGAGTCCCCGTTATTTATTTAAATTTGAATGACACTGGGAGAAAATATTGGACGCAGACTACTCGATTACCGCTCAACTACATCTCCGACGTTTGTTGCTTTGCCGTATTCACATATGCACGCTCATACATATAAATATACGTGTAAGTATTTGTATATTTATTATCTATTGTGATTCATTTCAGATACGATTTGTAGGCTTCCCCGCTTGCTGCGTCATTCCAAATATTGTTAGTAATACTCATAGAAATTTATGTGCAAACCTTATCTGTTTTTTTGTCTATACCAGCCTTTGATTAAACTAAATTTACACACCTTTTTTTTCGAGTATTTTCGGGTAAGTGTTCAATTAGTAATTTATTTATTTGTGTATTTCGTAGTCTCTCTGTAGTGTGCCCAGAGCGAAATTTACGAACAGCTGTTTTCTGAAACAAAATTTAAGTAATGCACAATAAAAATGAAGAAGTTAAGTGTCATTATTCAACACTGCTCCAACATGGCAGGCTGTTGGCATTTGAACGCGCCTTCATTCCAATGTATATTTGTATACATTAAGCGCACTTAACTTGTCCCTTTAATCTGAATAAAAACGTACATACATTATTACTTAGATATAAAAAAAAAATAACAAGCCTTTTTTATACAATTATTTTGATATGTACATGAAACAAAGCAATGGGGAAACCGGATAGGCCAGTTATTTAAAATTACATGCGATTGTAATTTCCAAATTCAATTCAAATTGCTGGACTTTCTGAGTTGAAATTATTAAGGATTATAAATGGCTTTCAGAACCGGATTCGCCTTTCTTTGCACATTTCCATTGTTCGTCTCAAAGTACTCTCACATCCATGCATATTTATTTTTATAATATGGGTTAATGAGGCGATCGCGTGTTGATTACTTAAATCAAGGAACTGGATTCCGTATATGTATGTACAACTGTTAATGCTTTCTTTATCGCCAATTTAATTGCATAAACATCCATATAGTACGACTATAACCAATTATAATCAAATTTAACTCGTTTTAAATTTAACTTTTTCAATAAAAATATGAAATATGTATTTTATTTTGTAAGAATCTCTATTTCAACTTAAAGCTAATGCACAGAAATAAATAAAATTATAGAAAACTTAAACGTTGTTATATAAATTGTACATATACAAAATTCAATTAAAGCTCAAGTGCATCGAAACCATTTATACAGTTAAACAAAAAGATTCCTCATGCACGACCAAAAAATATCACATTCAAAACTCTCCTCCATTCAATTTAACTCTCAGGCACACGACACACTCAATCATTATGCTTAAATCTAACTAGGATCTACTGAAGAGTAAATATGGAACCCATTGGACAGTTTACGCCTGCCCTTTGCCGTAGTAATAGCCGGCGCTGATCAACGGCTGTGACTGCGTCTGACGGTATTGGCGTCGCACCTGTTGCAGATGTGGTGGCTGCAGCTCCCGCTGCAGTGCAATGGCCGCAAAGTGTTGCTGCTTCAGTGCACTGATCGTGGCTATCTTGCGGTGTCTGTTGGGACGCGGCAGATTGCCGCTGTTGGCCAGCCGATACGATTCCAGGTCATCGTCACGCGGCAGCGGCCGATGCTTATCCTCGTCGACAGGTGTGCCATCCGGACGCAGGCGCATCACTAGCGGTCCACTCAGATACCTTTGCGGTGGCTCCGCAGTGAGGGGGGCAGCAACGGGCAAATCACTCGATTGATGAGCTGCTGCTGGCGGTGTCTGTTCGCTGCCATAGCCATAGGCCATGTCCATATCCATGGCATAATTGTGTTTATGCTCGCTAGCGCTCTCGAAGAGCGGATTTTGTTGCTGCTGCTGATGGGTGAGTATGATAAGCGAGGAGGCTGGTGGTGTCGGCACTGGCTGCGTTGGCTTGCGTGTGGTTATCAGCGTTGCGCTGGGATGATCCCGCATAATCGATGACCAGACTGCGGAAAAAGATGGTAAACAATCAAAATCACGTACTCTTATCGCTCATATGCGCTCATATGGGTTAAAAGTTGAAAACACGTTTCGCTTGCTGCTTATGATGCACTAGCATATTATCGCATGCGGAAGTTAATAGTGGATTCCCACGCTTCTGCTTTCTGGGACTGAGACTGGGATCGCTACTCATAAATATTGGTGTGTGTACAATGTGCATATGTGCAATACTCACTGAGCTCATTGGCATCGCGCTGATATGGATCGAGTGCCTCCAGCTGCGCATCGGAGAATGTCTGCAATTTCTCATAGCCATAGCTGAGCAGATTGTGCTTGCATTGGTTCACTGGCAGGCCGCCGCCCACTGTCGTCTTGCAGTGCACGCTAACCAACTGCGCGAACGTCGAGTATAGGTAAGACATCTGCAAGAGATCGAGAAAGAGAGAAGCAGAGAGAGAGAGAGGCGAAATTAGAGATAGATTAGAGACAGTGTTAGGCAACTGACAGCGGCAACAGTGCGTGTGAGTGATGCGCTCAAATGAAATGCATTTCAAAAGTATGTCGCGTTGAGCAATCCGCTAAAAATGGGAGTGGACGACAAATGTAGGGGGAGTGGGCCGAAGGGTTGTGCCCGCAACTGTGCTCCAGTTTTTTTTTTGTTATGTGTTTTCTCTACGGTTCAGCAGCCAAAGCAGCGCATGCCCCAAGTCTATCTATCTGCTATTTGTGTTTAATTTGCTGCCATTCTTTGTGCTCAGCGAAGCGTTGTTTTCAACTGTTGTTTTTGTTTTTGTTTTTACGACAGAACATTCTACGCCGGATGACACATGCTCAAGATGCGCTGACGTAAAGCTACGCGACAGCCATACTAATCAAAGGAGACACTTTATGATAATCAAATGTAGAAGTTCCCAAATCCGGCATTTCTTCTTTATTGGCAGTTGGGGTTTTTTTTGTTGTGAATTTGAAATGCAAACAAAGAAAGTCTGTAGCAGTCTGTAGAAATTTTTGTGTGTCACATACTTTAATATATGGTATATGTTTGTATACCCAATGTCTTCGGTTCGGTTATATATCGCACCTTGATCTGGTTAGATTTGCATTTGGTTTTCAAACTTCGACTTCACTTCTTGGCTCTGATTGCGAGTTTTACAATTTAACGCTGTTTGCATAACGATCATGCCCGATATACACAAAACGCTGTCTCAAATTACAAATTACCGTTAAGACCCCAACAACAATGGCAACAACCTGTGGCGCATATGTTTATTGACCACAAAACGTGTGCAAACTGTAAAATGCAATTTGAGACCAAAATATATATGTATGTACACTACAGCTACTACTCTAAAGCCAAATGTTGTTTGTATTGTAAAGCAATTCGTGTGCAACACAAATTACTCAATTTACCCAGCACAATTTGTACAAATTGATGATATTTGTACGTGTAGGCTGTATATACGTATATTTACATACATATATATATATATGTACATGTATAAGTCTACATGTGATCGTCAGCAAATTTAATATAATGCGTTATCTGATTGGTAAGCCTTTTTTATGGTCCAGTCCCTGACACAAATATTTAGCCAGAATTAAAAAATAAATAAAATGTTTGCCAAAAAATAAAGCACCACAATAAATTATGGCGGGTGTTGTCAAAGTCACATACATAATATAGTATGTATATGTACATATATGTAAGCAGATCTTAACTTTATTAAAGCCGGCAAATGACTGAGATCGCACTTGCCGATTGTCTGGCTTATTGTAATTTATTAGCAGCTCTCTAAATGATTAACAACCTGACATCAATTGCAATTAATTAAGAGAACAAAACACACTCGGATTTATAATTGAAATTTTAGAATGCAAATATGCATATATGATTTTGTGTGGGAAAGCTGAGAAATGTGTAAAAATAAAGAGGCAAAACAACTTGATAATTTACAACTGTTGAGCAAGTTTTGTTAGAATCGTACTTGACCTTAAAATGAATAATTATGCTTATGAGTTATTCTAAAAATAATAAAGTATCTGCGCTTGCTAATAAGTAATAATGAATGACAGCTCGAGGAAATTCCAAGTTTTTGTAAAAAAGATTAAGTAAACAACGATTCTAATTATTGAAATCATAAATTATCGACAATTTGGTGCAAGCCCGGAACTAAAGTGTTATAAAAAACGCAAAGTATTTTTTTGTTGGTGAACTTTATTATGTTATGTCTGGTTCAATAACCTGCTGATCTGCGCAGTACATATTATGAAACGATCGACAAAAAAAAAAACAGAAAAACACGTAAAAAGGGTAAAAATTTCAACAAAAATTTAAAGAGAAACGACGTTTGGGGCACAGACCAAAAAACAGATACATTCATATAATGTATGTATATAAATACATGCACAGACCTGCTCAACATGATTGCCATTATCATTGGATAAGTTCAGCGTTCATAATAATATAATGATGACGATGCTGCATTTTTGCTTATATATAATATATATAAATATTGTTTTTACGTAAAAAAGTAATGCGAACATAATTTATTTATTAAAGTTCGGGACAAAACCGGCCAAACGCGTTTGCCCCTAAGCATTAAGGGCAAAAAACCAAAAAAAAAGATATAAAGAAAAAACAGTAAAATGAAAAACAACAATAACATTGTTCAATCATTGGACTGTCTGCTTGTTTTTGCAATCGAAAATCGAAAGCGCTAGAGATGCGATGAGGCATGCGGGCAACGGTAAACAAAATGTTAATTTAAAAAAAGGGTGCTGCAGTCTAACCTAGCTGGACGAGACAATACCCTGTACACAGTTCTATAAATAAATCTATTTAATTTATATAAATAATTATAATACTATCTAGCTTACTTAAATTCCTTAAAATATAAATAAATAAGTTCATTCAGTAAAATAAAATAAGCTTTAGCCTCTGCGTGTAATTTTTAAGTTCAATTAGCAGTTTCAAACACATTTTTGTGTTGCCCTCTTCTCTGTTTATTTGTTGTTTCGTTTTCGTTTTGCGAATTGCGCTTTAGAATTCGAACTTTTGCAATTAATTAGCTTTTGGAAATTATTTTCTCATTTATTTATATGTATATATGCGGGTACCGGATGTACAATACACATGCATACATGCTTATATACATACAAACGTACATACAAACGTACAGTATCGCATTACAAAAGCAACTTTGTTGCTATTGTTCTCTTCTAACTATTATATAAGTGGCTTAGAATGGAATAACAATAACAAAGCTGTGGGGGGTTTTTTTTAAGGCGCAGTTCGCAGTTCTGTTAAAATTGATGCGCTGCCAAAATTCACACACATTTATACATTTCTATGTAGGATGTGGCTGTCAACTAAACGAAATGAGAATCTCGCCCTGCCTGACGATCATTAATAATACACGAATATGAATATATGTATGTAAAGTATGTATGTATGTGAAGCATTTTACTTTACAACATTTTGACTGGCCGTAGAGTTCATTAACTGTTTACGAGCGTGTAACGAGCACCGAACTGCCAACATTAAAAAAATAGATGCCACATTGGTGTCCGAATCCGAGTCCGAAGCCCAAAGACTTTGCGCAGGCGCCTTTGATGTCACGCTTTGTTGCGCAAAAAAGTGAAAAGCTTTTTTTAAATATTTCTTCTTTTTTTTTTTTTTTTTGTTTTTGGTTTGTTTGTATTTTTTATTATTATGTACAATCCCCGCTCGTCGCACTCTAAAGCAATTGTACATGTAAATGAAAAGAGCTGTTGTTTTTTTCCTTCTTGTTTTGTTTATCATAAACGAAATTTAACGATTTGTCTTGTTGCCATCGTTGCGCTCCGCTGGCCACAGTGCAGCTCATTTGGTTTTATTGTTCACATTTGATAATTGCTTTTCATTATGCTGGGAAATTGTTGTAGCCATTTATGGCAGTGTTCAAGTAGCTCTAAAAGAGTCGGTGAAAAGCATTTAGTTAATGGTGCAGGGAAACGCTCAATTTCAATTCGTATGCTTAGCTATGAGGACTGGTTCTTAGTTAAAAAAGTTTATATTATCTTTATCTATTTGGGGAGTCTATATATTCAGACCTAAATGATCTATTGTACACTGTGAAGAAAATTGAAACTGTTTCTTGCAGTCCATTGTCAACCCATCTTATTCTTTAATTCAATTATTTTTCACATCTTTTTTAAGCAGAAATCTTTATTTCTTAATTTCACATTGATTCTGAACTTAATAATTTACATAGCTTGAAAGCCTCGCTTATCTTTTTTGTAATATAAACAGACTCTTAGTAAACTCTGCTACTCGCCAGTCAAATATAAATAAATATTCTCTATCTATATTTTTTGTGTTTAAGCTTTTGGCTAATTTACACTAGCTAGCTTTAAGTTTCTGGTCAGTGGCCTTTCTAAATTTCCGCTTCTTGGAGTCTTCCATAAAAGTCTCGAGCTTTTCTGATGAAACCCACATTAAATGAAGCCTGTTTGCGCGTGTCTTTAGTCATACATATTTGGGAATGTATTTGCAACATGCAAACACTTGAAAATAAATAGTAGGCTCGGTCGCGAAGACCGTTTTACCAATCGATAAGAGTTAACTACAATATGGACCGGCTGAGCCGGTATTTAATAAAACACAAAACATTTTGTATTGTATACATGTCGCTTCCGAAGGATTGAAACCATTTGAGACAACGATTTACCGAAGTGTTACGATTGTTAAAGTTGACAATGTCAAGTTCAGGTATCTGATTTTCATATTTATGCCAAGGATGGCAAACACCAATGTTCCTCAACTGATTTATATATTCATATCAACTATGTGAATACATAACTGTAGTAAAGTGGCAACAGCTTCTCTTGTTTGATTTTTTGCTATTTTCTTGAGTATTCATTGTTCAGTTGTGAATCAGCTAACTATTATTTGGCTGTTGGCTACGACTGCGATACAGTTATGCAAATGAGACTCAAATACCGCTCACCGATGTTCGGCATTAATGTCTGCTGTCCATGCATATTCAGTATATTCATTTATTCAATTCAAAACGATAGATATAACAAAAAGCGCAGTTAAGACTTACAAATATCAACAACGACTAATTATGTGCAGAAATATGCATGAGTATTCAGGCATTTCTAAGTATTTATGATGTTCATTGACATGTTATCAAAATATCAAAATGCAGATCTCATCAAAATATTGATAATTATGTACGTAAATGTGCGAAAAACTGTGCTACTTTTAGCTGATTCTCAATGCCAAGGACGAGTGCACAGCCCCATTGTCATTGTAACTGGAGCGTACGTGGGGGGTAAGCGTGATGAGCGGGAATATGAATGCCAAGCCTAGCTTGGGGTTTACGTTCGATTTGCCGACTATTCGCTGTGGTAAATGCATATGTATAAATAAATTGATATATGTTTCAACTTGCCTTTTCGTTACGCGACAAAAACTCCCAAATTGGTATTGACGATGCTGAGCTCATTTGGATAACCATGGCGCTGATCAGGCAGCTGGCCAAGATTAGTCTCGCAGCGTTCGTCATGTTTGTTGTTGTTGTTGCTGTTGTGGTTGTCGTTGTATTATGGCAAAGGTTGCTTGATTACCTAAGATCCAACCGGTCACCTGTGTCAATTGCACACCGTTAACGTTAACGTTGTGGCGCGTTGCCAGACTTTCTATTTTGACTCAATTAGAAAACGCTTTGTTGGCCCATTTGAAATTAACACCAAAAGCCAAAAACTAACTTTCTTTTGTCAACTGGCTTGGCTTGAAATTGTGCTCTTTGTTTTCGCACTTGATTAAATTTAAGTTAACAACAAGCTTTACTAATTTCGTTTTATTTGATTTTGCGTTTATTTTTTTGTGTCTTTTTTTATTTTTGTTTGTTGTGTCTCAGCTTAAAACGCAAAAGCTCGTTTCACGTTTCACGCCCACAGTTAAAATTCCTCACATATACACGCATACGCGCTCACACATACAATTGGATAAATTGCCGGCTTTGTCTGCTTCTGCGACTGCGACTCGTCTTCAAATGAAGCAACAGCCAGCAACGCACACGTATTTAAGCTCTGAGCACGGCTAAATTGGCGATGAGCGCGTGTCACGACGATCTATCGTATTTTGCCAACAAACACACAGACGTTCCATCGTGTATGTGTTACATACTCCATTCAGACACGCGCTCAGCTCCAACTGAGAGCAGTGAGTAGTGGAAGAGGCTCAGAGAGCACGAACTGGTGATATCCTCTCTAGCTCTAACTCTCGTATTAGACAAAACTCACAGACACACACACACACACACGCACACGGCAAACTTGTTCTACACGCTTGCAGTTAAAATAGAAATTGAATAAAACAAAAGCAAATACATTGCAAAAATTTCAAAGTCAAGTCTATAGGCATCGCAACATTAGGTCTGATCTCGTGCCTAATCAAAAGCAGTTGAGCTTCAGAATGAATATATGTATATATATATATATATATATATATATATATGTATATTATATACAACCAATTAAAAAGAATGCATATTTGATGTCACTTATTAAAAATTGCAATTCATAAGCTTCTGTTGTATGCTGTCAAAACAAAATGCGAAATGTTTAACAATCAATTGCTAATTAAACCTAATAAAAACATATAGCATATGGCGCCAGCCGGACCTCCGTTTCTGTTTGAACTATAATTTTCGTGAAATTGAATTAATTGATAAGTAAAGAATGACCAAAGAACTACCAACAAACACACAAATAACTTTGTATTTGTGCCACATAAAGACTTTTGGGGTATTTGGATTACGGAAACCTGTTTCAGTACCTTATGAATACGCATTATTGCTAATTATCCAAAGATTACATTTCATATTTCATATTGAGTGCGTAAATTAATTCATTTGAAATTCATACAAGTCAATGCACTGCAATTTATTATGGAAACAATATTTTTAAACATCAATTGTATTTTAACAAGTCTTTATGGGGGGCTCGATAGGTACAGTCACCAGCAACGACCGCTAAATTATTGACACAGATGAAGACAAATATCAATCGATTATATGAAAAGCCACCGAAAACCGTTAATCAGTTATATTCCTTAATGCATTGCAATCTGTCAGGCAGCAGCTGCTCTCGCATTTCTTAATCATACTAATGCAATGGGGTGCTTAAAAAGTAAGACGTTTAATATCTGGTTTAATCCTGACTTTATTTTAACCATTGCGCACACAAAGTCACAAAGACTGACATTAGACAAAATGTACATAGCATATTTGAAAGTTACAAGTACAAGTTACTCTTACAAGCGATTATATTGCATAAAGTTGCTATCAAAACGACCTGAACTGGTATACAAATCCCTATCGTCCTTGTTATACAGCATGAAATCGTTGCCTTGCCCATCAACGTCAGAGCCAAAGATAGGAACATAGCTGCTAAAGCTGAGATCATGCTTTAATCGCTGATCCGGATCGCGTCCCAGGTGTATAACTTTTGCATACAACTCCGCGTCGGCCTGCAGTGCACGATCAAAGTCCTTCCAATGCACGAACTTGACATGCTCGCTGGGAATAGCATTTCGATTCAATAGCTCCAGCAGCGTATTCGAGTTTACCGGCTGCACAACGTTCAGTTCCCGCTCCACATTGGCGACGCCATTGTTGTTGCCAAGACGACGCTTGCTCAACTGCGGCTGAGTCAAGTCCATGTCCATATTCCATAGCCAGGCCAGTAAGGAAGTAACAGAAGCCTGAAATACATCGATTTTAGAAATAGAATTGCTGGCAAAGTGTGGTCTGCTTACTTGTTTTGGATCGCTGCGACCAATGCGTGGTATGGTCTTCATATTCTTCATGGGGAAACCTTCGCTGCGCTTGCCTAGTCGTGGCACATTCTTGGTGATCTTCAGAAAGAAGCCGGGACTCTCATCGGCCTGGCCAGGGCACCACAGCTCAGCGAGAAGCAGCACAGCAAACAACAGGATAGTGGCAGAATTCATGTTGCCGTCGTACTGTGACAGGCATATGTCAATTAGTAAGAATTTATATAAAACTTCGACCCACATGCCAGAGATTAACTGCTTAGACGAATGCGGGTAGCAGCTGCTCCGAGTATTTGCATTATCGATCATGAGCACAATTGACCCAGTTGCATAACTTAAAACTAACCACAATTGAGAAAGCTTACAGACGTTGGTCGATAAGTGTATTTAAATAATGAAATAAATAAGGTTTAAATTTAAGGAATGATAGCCAACATCAGATTAACGAACTCTGCGCCCATTGCGCCACCTCCGTGGGGAGTGCTTGATAGCGTTGAACCGCTTGCTGTATTTGTCCATATGTTAGAGCCATTTTGTGCATTTCGAACTCCTTCTGCACCTTGCCCAAACCGCTGCTCGAAAGCGGCATGATGAGCTCCACAATGCGCAAATGCTCGAAGGCTTTGAGTACAATAGCACGTTCCACGCCCTGCATCGTTGTGGACACCTTGGCGAACTTCGTGAAGCGCGCAAATATGATTTCAAAGTTGAACGGATCCCTGTCGTAGATGCTCGAATGATGCTTTATCGCAATGATGAGACACAGTTCGAGCACAGAGAGTCCGCAGAGCAGCTCAACTTTATCATCAGACTCGTATTGGGCGGCCAGCATTGTAAGTTGCTCGCCTGTAATGTGTGGAGCATCGGGCTTTAGCTGTGCCACGAGCCGATATATAAAGTTCTTCAGAAATGCCTCGCTTATATCGAAATCGTAAAGCATTTGCAGAGTTTTCTGTGCTGCTGGTGTCTTGATAATCATAGCAATCTGTTTGTTCCAGTTCTCGGCATATCTCTTATCAAAATTATACTCAACACCGTCAAAATGATTTCGCTGGAAGGTGAACGCATCCGATTTAAGTAGCTCTAGGCTGTCAACGCGATCAGCAGCAGACTTCAGATCTTTGCTGCTGGGTATGCTCATCAGTTGCTGAAAGAGTCCTGCATACTCCTCAAATTTATGGGCACTGGGAAACAGAAACACCTGTCTGCAAACGAAATAAACAGACATGTTATTATAACAAGAAACAGCAAGCTATTCTGCCGAGGACTGAATACTCTAATCTATACCACGGCGATCAAGATAGTTTTCAAACTGAAGGACTAGTTTGGTTAGAAACAGCCAGTTGTACAGATGGACATGGATAAATGACATGATTATCTCAACTTATCTCTAAAATATGACCATAAAGTATATAGTCCGCAAATGGTCGTAGATGTTCTATTGGGTGCCTGCTGCAAGAATTGATTGAGGAATTGAAATCATACCTATGAGAGAATCGCGATTTGACTCGTTTTTCGAGTAGCTCAATGACGTCCAGGCGACAAGTTACGCCCAGCACACAGATTGGCGCCTGAGCCGACTGTGAGACATCAAAGAGATTGTAGAGCAGTGTTTGATTGTGATGTGTACAGAAGAGATCGAATTCCTCGAGCACGAACACCACGCTCTTGGACTTCTTATCGCCCGCCTTGAGGCACTGCAGCAGAAAGGCGAGATTCTCGGCAAAGGAACCAAACACTTTACCATCGGCTGCATTCTCAAGTCGCATTTGCACCGTAATTGATTTGAGAGCCAAGCGATCGTCCGTATGCAAATTTCCATCGAGGTGTACGATGAGCGTGTTGTCCACAAATGATTTGTTTTCCAGCAAATCCGTGAGAACGGCATTTATGAGCTGCAATGCAAAGTATTAGTCAGCAAATCGGAGGCTGTTATGTATATTGTATTACTGTCGTTTTTCCAGCCCCACGGGGTCCAATCAAAAGCAGGGAATTCGATTCACCCATTTCTGCTGTGCGCCGCAGCAGTTGGCGCACATTGGAGCGCTCCGCTTGGTATCCACGCAGTGTGGTGTAGTCACGCTGCAGTCGCTCCTTTAAAAATCGACGCGTTTTTATTACCTCATCTACAGAGTCGTGCATAATGGCTTTAATTTAATCACTGGGCTTTGATTGTGTATTTAACTTGTTTTGAATAAAAATTGCCGCCAAAATATCAGCTGTGCAGTGGTGGCCTACTATACGATAGTCATAACTATCGATATAAACCATCTGGTGTTCTGGAAGTGGAACTGTTGTGCAACGGATCCATAAAAAGAACTCCACACTTGACGAGCGTATTATTCAAAGTTGTGCTCATCATTTGACCACACTAAGAGCTTTGTTTGGCAGTTCAGATTCAAACTCAGCACATTTTTTAAGCTTTTCGTAAAATTAATTTTGAAGTTATACGGATGAAACTTGGCTTGCTTTTGTTTTGCTGCTGAAAATACATATGTATGTCGGAGCCGGCCGAATCGGATCACTGTACAATATCAATGCCATAGAAACGTTCGAATGAAATAAATCTTATGCGAAAAACTTGTTGTTTACTAAGTTATCGATATTAAAGTCCCTGTATATGTGAGGTATTATTTTTTAAATTAGACTTCTATAGCTTCCATCGGAACTACAGTTATTATATAAAGTTATTATTCATAATTTACTTTACTTTATTTTTGTTAATTTCAGCAAAGGTGTATAAATTTCAACGTGATTAAAATTTCAGTTTTATTTGTTTTTGGTTTTCTCCAATAATACGAAAATAATTGGTTAATAATTGGTAATGTACGCAAATAATACTAATTTGTGGTTTATTGAAAATAAAGTGAAATTGCAATCAGGCAAATAAAGCAATGTTTTTACTGGCGCAGTTCAGATCAAGAGCTACAACAAAACAGAAAATTTTTTGAAACGGCCTTCTGATGATTTTACAACGCATTTCCATAATGTTTGGAATAATCACTCTTATTGGAGTAAGTCAACAATTTATAAATTTCTCTTAGAACTGATTTACTTCTTATACTCAGATAACGAAGGTAATGTACGCATGAATGGTTATGGACTCGTCAGTCAAAAGTGAACCGATAACCGATCTATAATTGCAATAACTTTGAATCTAACTGTAATTTGCCATTTGTATTACGCAATCGGTAACGTTCGACTGAAACATTCTTATTTTTTTAAACTTTTCTTCTAGATATATGCCGAAGTCGAGTTCAACAATATAAAATGCTTAGCCCGGGATCCAAATTTTATCAACTTTGAAATGTGCGCTTTCAGATCTGTGAATCGCAGTTACAAATATATGTCTATAAGGGCCCAAATTTATGAGTTACCGATTACATATGCGTTGGTACAAGCGTTTAAGTTTCATTTGTCTCCTCGTCTAATTATTTATTGTTTAACAGATTACATTCAAGCTTTCGAAGCGAGACAACCAACATGTCTTTGAACGATTCAATAGTTCTGTGGAACTCTGCAGATTCATGAGAGATCGACAAAATCCAGTAGCCAGCTTTTTATTCTCCGTTTTTGAGGATTACGCAACTTTCAATCACACGTGCCCCTTTACTGAGGTGAGTGCTTTTTGTGTGTTAATCCGAATTAAAATATATATTTGGTCTGACGTTTTTAGTCTCACTATATCTTGGAAAAGCTGCCAGTTCAGCATGTGAGTAATGTGTTATCGATACTGCCTAATGGTCGATATATTTTTCATCTATTATGGACTTCAGATAACCGCCTCAAAGGTGAAATCATGGTGTATATAACCAAATCATAATGTTTGTAATATGTATATGTATATATGTGTATATATTATCAAGGTTGTCGATAGAATTATAACGAAAAATAGATCAAATATACATTCACTAGTTTTTTTTATCATGCCACTCGATGTGATAACTGCGGATCAGTTGAAGTACCACCGTCTGGTGGCCAACAAGGATGGCGCGTCAAAGGATCGTTGGCAAAAGACATTCAGCTGGTGTCCGGGCAGGCAGAACATCGACTTTAATCGTGTGGCTCAGATTTACTGCGATAGCTATAGTCGGTATGGCGAGGAGGCAATCATGAAATATCGATATTAACCATCTGGTGTTCTGGAAGTGGAACTGTTGTGCAACGGATCCATAAAAATAACTCTATACTTGACGAGCGTATTATTCAAAGTTGAGCTCATAATTTGACCACACTTAATAAGAGCTTTGTTTGGCAGTTCAGATTCAAACTCAGCACATTTTTTAAGCTTTTCGTAAAATTAGTTTTTAAGTTATACGGATGAAACTCGGATCACTGTACAATATCGATGCCATTGAACCAATCGTTCGATTGAAAAAATCTTATACGAAAAACTAATTGTTTACTAAGTTATCGATATTAAAGTCCCTGTATATGTGAGGTATTATTTTTTAAATTGGACTTCTATAGCTTCCATCGGAACTACAGTTTTCATATAAAGTTATTATTCATAGTGTACTTTAGTTTATTTTATTTAGTTCAGCAAAGGTATATAAATTTCGACGTGATTAAAATATCAGTTTTATTTGTTTTTGGTTTTTCTCAATAATACGAAAATAATTGGTTAATAATTGGTATTCAACGCAAATAATACTAATTTGAGATTACGTGAAAATAAAATGAAACTGCAATCAGGCAAATAAAGCAATGTTTTTACTGGCGCAGTTCAGATCAAGAGCTACAACAAAACAGAAGATTTTTTGAAACGGCCTTCTGATGATTTTACAACGCATTTCCATAATGTTTGGAATAATCACTCTTATTGGAGTAAGTCAACAATTTATAAATTTCTCTTAGAACTGATTTACTTCTTATACTCAGATAACGAAGGTAATGTACGCATGAATGGTTATGGACTCGTCAGTCAAAAGTGAACCGATAACCGATCTATAATTGCGAAAACTTTGCATCTTACTGTCATTTGCCATTTGTATTACGCAATCGGTAAGGTTCGACTGAAACATTCCTATTTTTTTAAACTTTTCTTCTAGATATATGCCGAAGTCGAGTTCAACAATGTAAAATGCTTAGTCCGGGATCCAAATTTTATCACTTTTGAAAAGTGCGTTCTCAGATCTGTGAATCGCAGTTACAAGTATATGTCTATAAGGGCCCAAATTTATGAGTTACCGATTACTTATGCGTTGGTACAAGCGTTTAAATTTCATTTGTCTCCTCGTCTAATTATTTATTGTTTAACAGGTTACATTCAAGCTTTCGAAGCGAGACAACCAACATGTCTTTGAACGATTCAATGGTTCTGTGGAGCTCTGCAGATTCATGAGAGATCGACGAAATCCAATAGCCAACTTTATATTCTCCATTTTTGAGGATTACACAAATTTCAATCACACGTGTCCATTTACTGAGGTGAGTGCTTTTTGTGTGTTAATCCGAATTTAAATATATATTTGGTCTGACTTTTTTAGTCTCACCATTTCTTGGAAAAGCTGCCAGTTCAGCATGTAAGTAATTTGATATCGGTACTACCTAATGGTCGATATATTTTTCATCTATTATGGACTTCAAATAAGCGTCTCAGAGGTGAAATCATTACGTATTTTACCAAATCATAATGATTGTAATATGCATGTCTATATTGTAGATAGAATTATGTATTTCTGTGTATAGAAATTTATATATATCTAATCAAGCTTGTCACTCGATTTGTATAGTGCAATCAAAATACGTTAATGGCTGTTAAAGTTATTAAGATAAATTATTAAATGCGTCAATAAAGCTTTATTATTCTAAAAACATTATTAATTGTTCCTCAATTTATTGCAAATCAGGTAGGCCGTTCAAAGTCATCAGTAGTAGAGAATAAATTATGTTCTCATTATAATAAAAGTAACATTATAACGAAAAATAGAGCAAATATACATTCACTAGTTTTTTTTTTACCATGCCACTCGATGTGATAACTACGGATCAGTTGAAGTACCATCGTCTGGTGGCCAACAAGGATGGCGCGTCGAAGGATCGTTGGCAAAAGGCTTTCAGCTGGTATGCGGGCAGGCAGAACATCGACTTTAATCGTGTGGCTCAGATTTACTGCGATAGCTATCATCGGTATGGCGAGGAGGCATTCATGAAATATGCTCGTCGTCGACGGCTGAATGGGAAACATTGCTTCAGCAATGCGGAGGCACTCAAGGCGAGTGATAAAGAGAGTATAGATGTGGTGAACAGTGGTGCAAAAGTGCCACCTACTGAGAACGGAGAATATGGACGATTTAAGCCCACACGAAGACACTATTGCTAATGACCAATTTGGAATATCAAATTTATAACTAAAAGTAAAATAATTATAACTACATTAAAATTGTATTAGAGTGAAATTCCATGTGGTGAGTTTCTCATATGTGTCACCAGATGGCTCTCACATATTGGCAACTTTTGATATCGAAAAAAAAAACATCTTTTCTAATGCGGTACACACAAAACGACAAAGAAATAAGATCATCTGCAAGGGCTTACCAGTTTCCAGTAGTTTAATGATATCGTTTTGAGCGAAAATTGCAGCCTAAATATCAAACTAGTCTTCTGGATGTGGAGCTGCTGTGCAACGGTTCCATAAAAACAACTCCACACTTAACGAAAGTACAACACAAAATTGAGCTCACACGAAATATTCCAACGAAATATTCCAGTTCTGTTATTTGGGCGCTCAGATTCAAATGCATTACAACTTGAAACTAGAAACTTGGTAAATGGTGCACTGTATTATAAGGCTGCAATTGGAACAATCGATCGAAGGATCATTATTACTAGATATGTGTGTTATTATATTGGGTCAACAAATAATTTAAATCACACAATCGTTCTTACTTTAAAATTTATTTTATAATAATTACGACAACCGCAAACAATTGGTTGTCATCAATAGGAATAAAAATGATTTAAGATTGATATCTTTCTGAGTGATTGTATTTAGAAAATGCAATGGGGTATATCAATAGTTATAATAAAAATATATGATTTTTTGAAACGAATCTGATGAATTCAAATTTTATTTCTGTAATATTTGCCATTAGTTACATAACGCCAATAAACTTATTATTATCTTGTCTAACTGACTTACTTATTATACTCAGATAGACAGAGATTTGAGATTGAGAATTAAGATTGAGAACTGAGATTGAGTTGATGGCTGGATTGCCAGTTAGCTCAGAGATTTGTTGCTAATGCAGCAGGACTTGCAAACGGAGCTAGGCTGGCTGCTGGTGGATGCGTAGCCAATATGGTGAATGCTGGGAACGCCTATGTCATGGAAGCCGCTACACATCCAAATTACGCGGCCAGCAAATAGCCGACCATTTGGACTGGTTGGGATGCTGTGATGCTGTTATTTGTTGTCCGGATTGGTTGCCAAGAAGCGCGTTTGTTGGCTGATGATGGTTGCTACAAATTTTATTGTGTTGATGATCGTGGTGAGTGTATACATCACTTATTAATTGCAGTGTTATGTTATGCATATTACTGCTGATGTAAATATGCCTGCATTATGGGCTGCGTCGGCTCCGATGCCCAGGAACATGTCACTGAGTGGCCAGCGATTGTTATGGCTGATGCATAATGGACGGTGCTGTAGTGCTGGTATTGCTATCAACGCCTACAACTACAATGTCCACACTTGAACACACACACACACACACACATCTCGTAATCGCTACGTATACACCTGTCACCAGGATCTGGATCTGGATCAGGTCGGACTGGTCAGCAATTTTTGGCAATGGCGTCCACTCAAGTAGGTCTATCCATCTATTGGCAACGCCTGCGAAAATTCAGCTGCTCATCCATCACTTACAGTACCAGACATCTGTTGAGCTTGGAGTCAGAGCAGGCTGCAGAGCAGAGCAGAGCATCTCCAGTTGGCAGTTTTCACTCATGCTATGCAATTAAGAGATCATCATGCCGGCGCGTCGTCCAGCGTCCAATGCTCGACATCGCTGACAATGCAACTTTGAGTGGACACTTCATTTAGCCACTTCGATTTGCATGACCGTGCGCATAATTAACAAGGTGAAAATGTCAGTTCAGTAGTAACCAGTTGATAGTCAACTTACAGCAAGTGTTTACTGTAACACTGCCGGGCTCTCACATATATCGTGTTTGTGTTATTGTTGTTGTTGTTACTGTTGCTGTTGCTGTTGCCTCTTCTCAGTATGTCTACTAGTTATAAGGTTCGCACAGGTAATTACCTGCGACCGCGAGTTGGTTGCACTTTTTATTTAGCACCCGCGATGACTCGACAAATGTAAACGAAAACAGTTTTTATGCACAGATGTGAGATAAGTATTATAGAAGAAAATAGCTCAGAGCATTGGGCATAAGCATAAGTAATCTAAATAGATGTGCATATACATAAACTTAATTTATATGTGACTCATAATAATAAAATATTGACTATTCAACAATTAGTTGTAATAGAAAATTAAGATGAAAAGATTTGTAACTAAGCCTGATTACTTACCGATAAAAATATAACTATGTATTCAAAACAATACGTGTTAGAATAATGTAAATATTTATTCAACGGACCTTTTTAAAAAAGTATGCTGGACTTAAGTTTATGAACTTAATAAATATTCTTCAAAGTTTTAGATTTACTTTAATATGTAGATTCTAATATGATATATTTCTATGTAATTATAAAGAGAAATAAACATCAACAGTAGATCAGATGAAAACCCTTGAATAAATACTATTCATTCTCATATTTAAAAATATAATTATTTTGGAATGGGTTTTCTAGAAAATATATAAAGTTCTCTGGGCTTACTCTATATGGAGATTATCCATTGCAAAAATGTATTTATATTTTAATAATTTACATTTGAAATCACTTTTGCAGTGATGCACTCTATGATTAAATCCAATCTAACGGAACTTAAATTTTATTTAGTATATATTGCAGTGGTTTTCCTCTGAGTTTTCTTTTATATATGTGTAGCCCAAGCAGCTGCTGAAAATGATTACAGGGCTTGGACAGGTGCGAGTATTACCTTCCGGCTAGACGAATAATATAGGTAAATCGATTGTCGTGGGCGCGTTTGAAAATAAGTTCTATATGCAAATTATGGCGCAAAGTTGTTTGAGTTAAAAAATGCGAGCAAGTGCTTTAGCTTTGGCCGTAAAGACCAAGTTTCGTTTTGGGGTTGTGCAGTAATCAATGAAACTTTAATGCAAATTTCGAATTCTGTGCCAATCGTCTTTGGGCAGTGTGCGTGAAACATTTCCGTTTCATTAGCCACGTGGTTGCATTCACAGCCTACGTCATTGATGTGCCAACTGTGGCCACGCGGTGGCAGGGGCAATGGCAGTGGCAGGGGCAGGGGATGCGGGGCGACAGCGGCAGACAAATGCGTGTGAAAAATCATCGACGGCGTCCCACAAAATCGCAATGCGCACAATTAAACGGTAGCAATAATTACTATCGAGTGAAATATAATAATGGCTATAGGGTAGATGTAGATATATGTGTGTAAGTGTATTTATATGTAGATACAAACATATATTTATATGCTTGTGTGTGTTTGTGCTTTGTCGGTTATATCTTGATTTGGCTTGAGAGCTTTCGATGTGCCTGTTTTCTGCGGTTTATTGTTTGCACAATTTTCCCATCGATGCGAACTTTTTTTGTTGACTCATGGCCAAGAACAAGATGAAGATGAAGATGAAGATGAAGACGAGGTAGTGGCAGAAGAAGAAGAAGCAACGGCACAGGCAGTAGCAGCAACAGCAACAGCATATGAACCAAAAATAAAAACAAGAATAAGTACAAGTACAAGCAAAAAGTTCGAGCTGCTGCTTCTGCTGCTGCTGCTGTGGGTGTCGCTCGAGCTGGCACTGTAAAAACAAAGGCAACAATCAGCAGTTGGCCAAAACAAACACATACACACACTCACACAAAGGTAGAGAGAGGGAATTGGTAACTGCACTTGACGCCTGAACTGAGGGTATTGGGCTGGCTGTGCGCACCCCTTTTTGCAAAAGGTAAACAACATTTGCGGATTTCACGCCAGGATCAGGATAGAGAGAGCATTGCTGATCCTATTAGCCGGTGCAATGCCAATGACAATGGTCAGCCCTTGACTGACTGGCGCCATGTCTGCGCGCAATTACACGAAGGCGGATTACCGTCCGGCAAAAACACAAAAATATAAAATAAAAGAAGGAAAAGGGACTTAATCCAGTTTTGCTTAACTTGGCCAGCAGGTAGCCTGTGCAACAAGTGTCGAAAATGCTGCCTCAAAAATTGATCAACTTCTCCGTTGGTTTCTCGTTCTCCCGGAAAAGCCAAATAAACGAATAAAAGCAGCAACAAAAAACTGCCGGGCAAACTTGAACATTATAAAAGAAATATATTATATATATATATATACAAAATGCGGCAGCTCATAAATGTTAAATAATAAAAAACAAAAAACAAGATAGTTGGAGCAGCAGCTGACGGCCAAATGTGACTTCAAATTAAAACGCCATTGGCATTTTGGCACGCATAGACAGGCTCAGAAGCAGACGCAGACGTGGAGCCGCTCATCAGTCATAAGAACAACAACAATAAAAACAACAAAAGCATCAACAATAAAAAATAAGCAGATTTCTTTGAGCTGCCGAGAATTGAATACCCTTTGGATACATATATCAATTATATGTAGATATGCCTGTTATCTTGGCCACACAGCGCTGCTCTTAAACGAGAACTCAATCTTCGTCAGATTTTTCTTATGCAAGCCATTTTGATACTCACTTGTCCATCACAGTAAGCTACTAAGTTACTAGATTAATAATGATAAAGTGATTAAGCTTTCTTTTTAACTATTCATCTGGAAGCTCAATCAAAATCAAAATCAGAAAATTTGAGGCAATATTTCAAAATAATTTACCAAAATTCTTCTAGGTGCAAATTGTGTTGTTGCTTGGTCATTGATTACATTTACCGTTTTTATAAATTTTCTACATTTATTTTAGAATATAACTTTCCAAACTACAAAATGAACAAGTTGCTTTCATCATTACATCAAGTTTTTAAGATTAATAATTTGCAGTTCTATTGGGATAAGTTTAATTACACGGAGAAAATTGAATACATATTTATTATTTCTGAGATTTGGTCAAAATATCTTTAACAGCTAAAAATTGTTAGCCGATCGTAAAAGACGTTTCGACTGATCCTGCAGAGTTTGAATACAAACGATTCAATTTAAAAGGATTCAATTTATAAAATTTGTTAACATATAACACTTAGTTAATTTTCGGCAGATTGTTTTATGTTAGAGCTGTTTGGAAGATATATTACCCATATTTTTTCATACAAAATTCGTTTATTGATGGGTAGTTGC